CTTTTGAAACCAAGTTGTGACTTTTTTTTTACTGAAGTTTCGACTTAACTTCAAATATACATTGAAAAATTAAACAACAGAATTTTGACGTGAAATTTTGTCTTCTAATTTTTCAGTATATACTTAAAGTTGGGTCGAAAATTTAGTAAAACGATCATGACTCGACTTGAGAGGCTCATGGGGACGAGCTCATTTAGACTTTTACTAGTATCATGAAGACGTCATAGAGAAGAAATTTCTTGATTCTCAGACATTTTAAAACTTTAATTCAAACGTTCATGATGACATGTAATAGTATTATGAAGACTATACAATAACGACTAATTTTTCAATTTTATTTTATCAAAATTATTTGTTATTCATCAGATACTTGTTAACTCTTTTTAACTTCATCTTTTACTTTCTTGTTTAATTTCTCGTTTGATTGTCAAGTATTCATATGATCTATAGGATATCTTCGTGAAAAAAAAGTACGAATATCTTTTAGTTAGTTTAAGCGATTTATATTATTTTTTCAACATTATGATAATATAAAAGTTCTGTATCCACTGACGTCAGAATACAAATCGTTTTATTAATGATCAAATTTGAGCCATTTGTTGTTGGGGAACGAAAAATACAAGTCGAATTTAGCATATAACTATCAAATGTAGACTGTGTTCGAGATACTTTTTAACACTTTTGTGAAATTAATGTAGTAGCAAGTTCACGAAATTGTGAAAGATCTTCAAAAATTACAGAAGAAAAATTCGACAAAGTTCATGATGTTTATGCAAATGAGTCACTGCTAAATATTTGATGTGTTGCAACAGTCTGTTTCTTATATATATTTTATTGACAAATATAAAATGAAAACGAGTCTTAACAAGACATGTATTAAGATATAGGCGAATTCAAAATGAGTATAAATAACGGAAAGAAATTAATTCGAAAATAAACTTTTTCTTGTATTTTTTCAAATATAGCAAACATTTTGAATATTTGTTATAAACCAAATTATATGAAATAAAACTTCAACGAACATAGTATAACATTGAAAACTAAATATATAAATCATTTGAACTATTTAAAAGATATCTAAGTTCTTGTTTCTTTTACGGTGAACTTTTGGGATACCCTGTACTGGCTAAGCTTTTATACGGATTATAACTTTGACAAGCTTCTCTGTTTTTACGGTCATACAGTCTCTTTCTTATGGTTTTAATATTACAGCAACAGTGCATAATATTATTGTACATGTATATAAATTGGAAAAGAAGGAATTGTGGGCTTAGAAGTCCAAAATCGTTCGAAACTCTATTAAACCAAGCAGAAAGCAGAATTCTAGAAAATTTGTCGCTCTAGAAAGTTGTGATTACTGCTAAAGCTCTAATCTTATTGAAGAGCAGGCACTCAATCTATTTAGATCTATATTGTTATATGAAACTACAGGATTATTCATGGAGTTACGCGAAGGAATCTGCAAGGTTTACGACAACTGTATTCTATAAGCACTGAATTTTATGGTGTTCATTGAACCGACTGTTTTCCTTTGACATATATACCCAATTTCAGGTTCATGTGAGCAAATACATGTTTTTTTTGTGTCATTCTTACATACACAATTGTACAAAATTCATCTATATTTTGTTTTTCTTATATAATATTCTAGGATTGGTATGCATTAAAAGAAGTTGAATTAACATCGGAACATTATTATGCTACAACAATGCCACGTATGTTAATAAATATGATTATAGAAACGCTTGATATGGCTAAACAAATGTCTGATGAAACATGTCAATTAATTCTTGGTATGATATTACAAAAAATTAATGAATTTCGTGATTTATATGTTACTGAAATAAATAATTATGCTAAACGATATTTTGCTGATCGAAAAACATTTAAAGAAAATTTTACAAAACAAATGGTTGCAAATGCAAATAATTGTGAATCAATACCAAATTTTGTACTTATTGTACGAAAAAAATATGATCGTGATGATCTTGATGATTTATCACGTTCATCACAACAACAACTTGATCGTTATGAAAATATGGGAAAAAAATTTGAACGTACAGCTGAATATTGTTGTGATATTATATTACAAGAAATTGAAATGGATACATTAAAATATGTTAAAATACTTTTTACACGTGATTGGTTTGGTTCAACAGCTAAACAATGTTGTGGTACAATTATTGAAACAACACGTGATTATTGGAGTTCAGAATTAACACATTTAAAAAAACCATTATTAGCATATCTTTTTTATACATGGCATAAACGTATATTAGCTCATTATTTACGAAATTTATTTTCGCGTAATACACCTATTAAATTTTCTGCACCAGCTGAACGACGTGCATGTGCAGACCAATTACGTAGAGAATCATCACAACTTGATAAAGAATTTAAATCATGGGATGGTACATCAGCTGATAATGCAACTGAATATCATTTTAATATATTAAGTAATATAGCTGATGTACTTGAACAAACAGATTTAGATTCTATTGTACTTGAAATAGCAACATTAGCAAAAAAATATCCAAGTTTAAATATGGATCAAGTTACACAAGTTTTATTATTACGTGGAGATTTAACAAAACAAGAAGCAAAAGATAAAGCTGATGCTGCATTATCGAATATGCCTCGTGTTAATCAAGGTATTCTATTTGAAATTATGGAAATTGTTAATCAACTAAATTGATATTAGAGATTGAATATTAGAAAAAAAGAAACTTTCTTAATTTCTATTTTATTTATTCATCTTTCTTATTTATGTGTATTTATCTGCTTTTCTTTTTTTTTCTTTTTGTTATCAACAATGTTTATTTCTATTGATTTCTAACAAATAAATAAATAAATACACAAGAATTTTAGAATTAAATCAATGTTACTAAAGTTTTTGTCCTAAAAAGTTATTTAACATTGTATTTATTCTTAAAAACATATTACTACTTTTATAGGGTGTCCAGAAAGTTGACATGAATAATTCTGAAACACCTTTTTATTTTAAATAATATTATAGTACATTATTCTTTGAAGTTTTGTGCTATATATTTTCAGACAATATAAAAATAGCAATAGTTTTGCTAATAATCAAATTTAAGTTATCTATCGTTATGAAAGGAAAAAATCTAATAGGAATTTGGCATATAAACACTAGATATAGGCTGTATTAGAAATACTTTTACGAAATCAGTGTAGTACTAAATGGATGATAATAATATGAAAGACCTTCAAAAATTACAGAAGAAAAAATCGATGACGTTCTGTCCAACAAGATCAGGTTGAAAGGACATGATAAGCTATAAATAGCACTACGATAAAAAAAAATGAAATATGTCCGCATTGGTTCAATTGAATAGACAGATTTTTTTTCGTTAGTGGTAGACATTTATTCAAAGTTTTTTTTTCTCATATGGATAAAGTAAGCAAATACTACTATTAAGTATTTATTAGTGATATCATGAAAGCAATGTCATCTGTTATCAAGTGAGAAAAATACATATGAAGCATTTCATAGATAATACTCATTTGTCATGCGAAAGGATAATAATAAGAAATTAAAATAAACTTTATAAATGATATTATATTGATGCGCATAGAGCAAATTTTCAGAACTAGTTAATTTAAAAGTCAACGAATATTTTGAATTTTCAAATATGAAACATTGGTTTTTGCCAGGAATTTAGTATTTTGATGTTCAAAGTGTTACAATTATGCGTTTTACTTATGTAGCATGAATTTTAGTAAGTCTATGTGTGTAAGATATATATAAAGATTTGATTGAATTCAAAATAAGAATCGATATTGAAAATAAATTAATTCAAAACAAAAAATTTTCTGTAGTATTTTTTTTTAAAGGTTTCGAAAACGATGATTTTATGTATTTCAATTCACAGTAATCATTTTGAAAGTTTGTTGTAAACCAAATTATATGAAATAAAATTTAAAAGAAGGTACTATTAGATTATTAAAAAAGACAGCTGAAAACGCTGGAATTATATAAGAGATAGTCATGCAAATTTTCTAGACAGACTCTTTGGAAACTTTATATTTATCAATAAATATCCGTACGCATAAAGATATTCATTTTGCAAATTAATTTGGTTATTAACTATACATGAGCAAGTCAATGTCAAATCATTGCGAATACTTTTTATGACCTTGATAAGAATTAAAGTGATTGAAAACTAGAAAAATCATCGCTATTGATAGTTTGCTATTATTTTATTTTTATTTGTATGACTGTTTTCTTAGATGTTTCGAATTCTATCTGCATGAAAGAAAAGCACTTCGATTAATTCTTCAATGCTTTAACAAAGTTTATAGAACCATATTTAAATTTTTTACTTTTCAGTTATTCATTAGTTAATAAAAAAAAAAAAAGATTTAGTTTGTGTAATTACTTTCGATAGATGAAGATCAAATAACCATTTTAAAAAAAGCATCACTATCTCAGTAGAATGATGTTTTTGAAATCATATAATTCATATTTGGCAATCAGAGAAATCGATCTCTTCTTCGTTATCTGCCCTTTAAAACATTCTCGTCCTTGTTTATCTAAATCATTTTTTATATAATATCTTAGTTGAAAAATGATGATGCTATTTTTATCAAGTATTAAATTGCATTGTACGTCATTCTATCCATTTTACGCACAACTATTGTGATAATCTAGAGAACAATTCAAGACCTTGAATATAAACTTCACAATAAGAAAAACAAAATGAATCAATCTTCTCTATCGATAAAAAAAAATACGCAAGACTATAAAACAAAAACTATATATAAAAAATTTTGATCGTCCTCTTTTGAACAAATGTAATTGAATCACATGAATGAACTTTAAATGTCTCATGTAATACATATATTGTTAATTATCATCGTATTTTACCATAATCAATGACCTCATCCTAAAACATTTTCATTCTCTCTTATCAGACAATAATAAAAATGAAACAGAAAAAAAAGAGTTGCAATGCATCACGTATTCACAATAATATAAAATGTTCTTTCAGGAGTTTATTTTTATTCTTTGTCTATTAATTATATTTATTATTCCAATAAAATCAACTGAAAATTGTAATATTGATTATGATCGTTATAAAAGAAGTTATGGTTATTCACAAACTTATCATTGTTCAAATCTTTATTCACTTTCAAATGATCTTTTACAAACGAAAGATATTTCAGAAAAAAAATTACCATTAAAAATTACTAAAAGTCCAAATCTTCATATTCATACAGAAATATGTGGTCAACATCAACAACAATATTTATTAGGTTTATTAATTGAATCATCATATATTCATTCAATAGGTTCACGAGCATTTTCTTGTCGTACATTACGTGTTATTTCAATAAGTCATACACAATTTTCATTAACAATTTTACCTGATGATATATTTCTTAATGCTTATCAATTACAAACTATTCGTCTTGTAAATACTAATATAAAACATTTACCATCATCATTAGAAAATTTATCTAATTTAACTGAATTAATACTTGATGATATGCATTCACTTATTGATTATCCATCAATAGAATATTTAAGTAATTTACGTTATTTACATATATTTACGAGTTTAAATTATTTTCCACTTAATTATGTCGATCATTTAAATCGTTTATCACATATACAAATTATTCATTTTGGTAGTCGAACAATAAATATATTTCCAAAAGAATTATTTCATTTAAATGGTTATCAATTAACTGATGTAAGTCTCTATTCAGAAAATATAACGTGTCGAACATGTAAAAGTGATTGGTTTAAAACAATTGCTAAAACTTTAATGATTTATGGTTGGACTAATCGTACAAAAGACCAATTTCGAAATAAAAATTTTCATTTAATTACAAAAACAACGTAAGTTATGATTTCAATTCAATATATTTTTTTTTTAAATAAGCTAAAATTATTTTAGACAATTTTATAAATTAGATATAATTGCATATTGTGGTGATATGCGATTAGGTGAAGAACCATTAATGGTACATAACGCACCATTATGTTGTAACAAAGGCTATTTTCAATGTGCAACTAAACGTTCTACATGTCAAAGATTAAGTAGTACATTTTCACGTTGTAAATGTTTAAATGGTTATTATGAAGATAGCTATGGTGACTGTATTTCAGTTTAAAAATTAAAAACTTTTTTCTGCACACTACAAAAGAATAAAAAGAATAAATAAAGTTAATGATGATGATTTTAGCCGCTGCGATGATGTTTTTTGCCACCCTGTTTCTTATGTTTATGTTTACCATCATGCTTGTGTTTGCCTCCTTTTCCATGTTTATGACCCTTGTGAGATGATCCATCACTACGGTGGCCTGATGAACTACGGCTTCTTGAACTATCACGATGAGGTGATAGTGAAGGATTTCTACCATGGCCACCAGCTGGATGATCAGCTTGACCACCAATGTGAGGACTCATGTCTTTTTTTCCACCACCTTTTTTGTGATGATCACCGTTGACATGCTCTGTATAATAGATACAATAGTAGTGTATAATATTTAAGAAAAAAAAAACCTTACGAAAAGCAAATGCAAAGATCAATACCAAGGCAAGTGTATAAAACCAAAGTAATCGCATTGTTTCGTTTGATGCTGTATGAATGTCAGTTAAAACACAATGATGAAACAAAATGATTCGAGTAAGAGATTAAATATCTTCAGTTTATTTAGAAAAGAGTGAGAGAGAGAGAGAGAAAAAAAAAGTAAGGAATAGAAAAGATAAAGACACACATACTACGTACACACAACGGAAAGTTATTTTATCAGTAGTCAATTGGCAAGGTCAAAAACGCTTGACTTTTACGTGACAATGACACTACGATAAATTTTTCGATTATTTTGAATTTTCTCTTCATTTTGCCGTATAGGTGGAAATAGACTTTTTTTAATTGGTTGTTTTGTACGATGTTGTGGTTGAAGATTAATTATAGTTGTTTGTTGAGAAGTTCGTAGTTGTTCTTCACTTCTAATATATTGTTGGGCTTCATATTGAATATTTTTTAATAAACGTCTATTAAAAAAATAGAAATGAATATGTTGGAGCCAACAAAAAAAAGATAAGAACTATAAAATACAATAAATTTAAATGAACTTACGTTAAAATAATATTTTTCTTTTTTAAAAGATTTTCATATGGATCACTTTTTTGTGTTGATGGTAAATTATTCACATTATTTACCTAAAGATAAGAGTATAGAGAAGAAAAAGAAGCGAATTAAAAATATTCTTTTTTTCTTCTATTTTTACTTGTAATCTAGCACCAACTTTAAATTTAAGTTCAATAAGTTCAGTAGAAAATTTCATATAAAGTTTTTCTTGTGAACATATCTTTATAACAATTTCTTTATTTAAATGAAATAATATTGGTTGAAATGGTGGTGCATGTACGTGTGGTTCGAGAGATGTATTCACTTTTGTCCACCAATTCCAACGACGTCGTCGACTGCCATCAACATTTAATTCTACACCTTCAAGTGCTGTCAATTGTAATCTATAAATAAAAACAAAAAAGCATGAACAAGTTTTTCATAAATATAATGGATGATGCAAAAGTTCTGTATTAGTTTTTTTTTTTTTGTATGTCTTGACAACAAATCGTGAGGAAGACTTGATTGTTTTATTGTTAAAAAGAGAAAAATCTCAACAGCAAAGGTATGTAAAAATATTTGGTTTAAAATATTTATCAAAGCTTGAAAAGTATTAAGAACATGTTTGACTGAAAAAGTTCTCTATACATTTTTGAAATTTAAAAGAAAAATTTCATCTACTAAGAAGATTCGATTTATTTTTTGTCTTTTATCGAGTTTTGTAGCGCTAAGATATGGTATTATAAATAGGTAAAAAAAAATGGAATTGTCAAGTTATCAGGTGAGTTCAAAATCAACGTTTTTCTAATGATCTTTGCTGACCTAATAAGTGATTTTGAAAAAAATAAGATTTTTTTGTCCAGCAATCGCAGTTAGTGAAATCCTATCCTTTATGTCTAGTTAGAGTTTAGTGAGCCACTCTTCAAAAGCACATTATATACAACAGAATATTGAACATCAGGAGAAAATATTCGTTGAACGTTGTAGCGAAAAAAGAAAATAAGCGTTCAATAAAACTGTTTCCTATGGAATCTGTTGTTTTGTAACTTGAATATTTTGACACCATTAGAAAGCTTGTGTCGCGTTGGTTACATTCACACATTAGTTATGTCGAGTAGAAGAAAAATTCAATTTTCTTGTTACTAATTTCAATATTTATTAATTTACAAGCAAATTTCATACCTTAAATCTCCATTCATAAAATTACAATAACCATTTCCAAATGGATCAAATTGTGCTAATTGTTTTGCTGAAAGTGTTGGCTCATCAGTAAATGCAGTATATAAAAGCATAGCGCGAGCAACTTCTGAGATACTAATAGCCGTATTACCCGATGGATAACTTAAGAAAAGAAAGAAAAGTTTTTGTAAAAAATAAAAAGTTTCAAATATTATAACTTACTAAACACAGCCTGTTCCATTTGGAAAAAGAATAGCTGCTTTTGATCCGTCTTTATAAAATCTTTGAATTAATGGTCTTTCATATTTCTATTGATAAATTAAAAAAAAATATATATTATATCAATAATGAATTTATATTCTATTACTTTAAGTATTGAAGATGAAAGATCTCTTGGTACAATTATATGTTCTTCATCTTCAGAATCCTCATCTGAACTTATTTCAAAATCAGGTGGTCTTTGTAATGTCCAACCTTCTTCAACAAACTTTAAATTTGATAATTGATATGTTAGAGTTCTCATTTTTGCTGCCACTATATTTTGAACAAAAGAGATGTTTTATTTACTATTATATAAAATAATATTATTAGCATTAATTAAAAATATAGAAAGCTACAAATACACACAGAGTATTGATTAGTAAACTAATATTAGTACAACAAATACACTTACTAGCCGAGCCCGGCTCAGCAGTACTCGGTGATGGTGAACTACTAGCCCTTGATGAAACACCACGATATGAAGTTAATTGTTGTGCCCTTCCTGTATGTATATATATATAAAATACAGAATCCTATGTCTTTTCCCGACTATGTTTAATTAAACACATATCTCGGAAAAATGGATTCACTATATGGACAGGAAAAAATCGGGATCAAGCAAAAGCTACACACACATAATAAAAGCTTTAACATAAGTATTATTATTATTATTATTATTATTATTATTATTATTATTATACTTTCAGTTGCATCAATCGATGTTCCTCCATCATTCAATCTGTTTGTTGCTGTGATTGTATTATGTTTCCGTGTTGCATTGCTATGTGCTTGACGTCCTGCACAAGTGTATGTATACATCAAATACACACAATAGTGAATGTGTATATAGGAATAAAAGCTACTGTGTAGATAATGTGATAATTATATCATGAAAAAAAAACATTCAAACAATATTTAGATATATACAATCATCCTGAATCATTTTTGCTGCTGCACGTCTGTCCGTTATTTTATGTGCTGCTTGACTTAAATCAGTACTTCCACCTGATTCTGATAGGATTTAATTGATAAAAAAGACTCAAAAATCAAAAAACAAAATGCAATAATTTACATACGTAGATCACTAGATTTTGATTGTGCAGCATGTGCTAATTTTTGTGCTTGTTCTTCAAGTCGTTTTTGTTCTGCCATATGACGTTCCCAAACTCTGACATATATATAAATTTATAATATGATAATATGAGAATCTTTTATTTTGTTTTGATAAACCTTGTTTTTGCTCGTTCTTCAGCTAATTGTCGAGCTCGTCGGCTACGAACTTTAGCATGTGGTTGTATATCAATTTGTTTTGAATCAATTTTTTGATTCTCTTCTTTTTGCATTTCAAGTACAGCTTCAACAAATTCACGATACTCACTACAACAAAATAACTAAAACAAAAATAAAATAAAAAAATGATAAGATATATTGATTTGATAAATTCATACTTGACTTGGTGCAAATTTTTCTTGTTCAACAATTGTTGGCCATTTAAGTAACTGTTGACCACAAAATTCACATGGAATATGTCCATGAATATGTACACCTAATTCACGTAATTCTGTTTCAATGGCTTGTTCATTTGTTCGAGGTATGTCAAATAATTTTTGTTTGGATTCAGGATTATACTAGAGTAAAGACAATTCATTGTAATCTTTCAAAAAGAACGAAAAAAATATTTAAAAAAAGAAGTCAATTAAACCTGTAAAATAGGTGGTGGTCCAACAGATGTTAAAATTGGCAATTCAGGTAATGAACTAGTAGTCGATTCAGCTTGTTCAGGTGACTTTATAAAAGAAAAAGAAATTTTTTTTTTAAAGTTACTTATTGATTTAAATTACTTCGGAAATTTTTGGAATTGGTACTTCTGGTTCAACAATAACTTCTTGTTCTAATTCTTCACGTTCATCTTCTTCGACAGGTACTGGCTCAGGTTGTTCTTCTCGAACTAATTATTATAGAATATAAACATTTAATTTGTTTTTCTTTTTCTTTTTCATTCATACTAAAACACATACTTCGATATTGTTCAAGCATTTCCATATCTTTCCATGTCCATTCTGTTTGAACACTTATTCTTAAAAATTACATATATTATTATATTTTTATTTCTTTCATTTATTAACATACGTCGTCGATTTTTTAGGTGTCTTTTTCTGACGTGATGGAATAGAACTTTGAGTTTTTCGTCTTTTAGATACTGGTGATTTTTCTGTTGTCGATGTGAGATTAAAAACTTCTTTTTGTTCATCACTTGATACGCCCAATGCTGAACCTTTTATGTAGAACAAAACAAACAATATTCCTTTTATATGTTTTTATTTTTATTTTTATATAGAGCAAACCAGATTGTTGCTGTTGTTTTGATGGAGGTGTGGATGATGTTTCATCATCTGTACCATTCAACGGATCGGCTATATGTAAAGAAAAATAGAATAAGAAGACATATTATTATTTTCTTTTTCTATTTAAAATTCAAATCATTTCCTAAGGGAACAATAGAACAAAAATTGATCTCTCCTCCCTTAAACAATATTTTTAGTCATACTTTTTAAGTCATTGAAAGAGTAAGAGAGAGAGAGAGAGAGAGAAAGATAGAGAAAGAGAAACAGAAAGACGGAATAATGCAAAGTGCATAGAAGCCATCGAGCAAAAATATAGAAAAAAAAAATGACGATCGATAGCTTTCATGTTGCTTCTAAGTCGTTGCAATCGAACAAGTGTGTAAATTGTTGAATTTTGCAAACGGTTGTCGGCACAACAAGAAAGAAAAATATAGACAAAAGAAGAAATACGATAAATAAGACAATGACTATTTATATGGTGAATTATTGAAATAAAAAGAAAAAAGAAACAAAAGGTATTTATACATCAATATTACGAATAAGAATCATTGAAAATGGGACACTCCGGTAAACATATAATCGATTCTGAAACTGGATTATGTAAAATATGTGATAAAGATGCTATTCATGAAATTCGTGAAGGTCAACAACCAAGAAAACAAGTTTATTATTCAAATCATGATGATGGTTTTACTCGTCGTTCAAATAATGATGAAACTCCTTATATTCAAGTAAATCAATCTATTCCTAATATCTTTTTATCTCTTTCTCTTTCTCTCTAATATTATCATAGGATCGATATGAAGATGAAATAGATGATGAACCAACACCACGTTTTATCCGTAAATCTGTTCATCCTACATCAACAGTTCGACCACGTCGAGTTATTCATGAAGAACCAATTGAAAAGCCAATTGTTATTCGAAGAAGAGTTGTTCGACATAGTCCTGCACCACCAGAAGAAGTTATTATTCGTCGTTCATCACCTCGTCAGAAACCATATTATTATGTTGATGGTGAAGGTCAAATAGTACCTCAAGATTATACTCCACCCGTAGAACCTCCTCGACGTTATGTTGTTCAACCTACGCATCCACCACCACGACGTACAATTCGTGTTGCACGTCGACATGCTCAAACACCACCACCAGCAAGTGAAATAAGACAGTCAGGACCAAGACGTCTAATCAATTCTGATACAGAAATTATTGACCGACGACAGCGAATAAGACATGATGATACGGATTATTCTCAAAGACCACCAAGAAATGCTGAAATGTATCATATTGAAGCACAACGTATTTATAATCATCATTCATCATTAGATTCTCCTATTCCAACGTCACGCAATATGACTACTCCACCTAAAGTGATTTATCAAGATGATGAAAATAGAAGACAACATAAAATTGAACCTAGAGAACGAAAAAATCACATTGAACATGAATCACCTGTTGTAAGAAGAGCTTATAAAAAAATACCACCAGGCAAATCTGTACCACCTGATGATAAATATAATTCAAATGAAAATTTTCCACGATCTATACAAAATAATAAAAATCGTCCTCCACCAAGACAATATGTATCATCACCACAATTAACAAATAGAAATCATAAAATTCCTGAATCAACTAAAAATCCATCTATCTATTATATTCGATCAGTTGATGAACATTGATTGTCATTTTTTGACTTATTCTCTTTTTTTCTCTATTTTGTAATTTTATATGACATTCACAAATTCCAATAAATTTCATATTATTATTATTATTATTATATTTTTTTGGTTCAATGAAAAATTATTTCGTTTTAACAAGGGTTGCTTTTATAAAAGAAAAATAATGTATGCATCATACCCACACAAAGTAAAATGTTTTTCCTTTAATGTATTTCTTCAAATACTCAATTCTTAAGTGATTAAAAAGAAAAGAAAATATCTACTTCTTTCTCCTTTTTGTTTTTATAAGAAGAGTCACAATGATTGAGAATATTCAAAGGTTTCTTCTAATATCGAATGCAATTTTAATATTCCATCATGATCAAAAGTAACTTATTAACAGCAAAAAAAAACATTTTTTTTTGCTGCCTTGGTTAAAAAATATTCAATGAGAAAATTTTTATCGATAAAAACTTGAATAAGGTATGCAAGTTTCTTTTCCATCTTTTTTTTTTTAATTTGAAATTGAATAGCTTACTAAAAAAATATTTAACACGAGTATCGGATATATTTTCTTTTTGTTCATCAAGAATAAAAAAAAGCACATATCGTCTATCATAGTTACATACGCTCACTTTAGACTACTAATTTCTTTCTAACAAAACTGCAATTGCGTAGTTACATATGAATCTCAAGAAAAAATATATTTCATAGAATCACATGATTCATTCATTTTTAATTGTTAATAGTAAAATATAAATCATATTTTACACTTATTCAAAGGTTAGTTCCATCACAATGTGAGATACAATTTATATGATAAGTAATCGATTAATAACTGACCTTTTTCATAATCTGTTGTTCGTATTTGATAATCATCATTGGAATCGACTGAACCACCAATATTTTGATAGAGATCCTTGTCAATTGCAGTCGCATCGACACCTGACGCAGACTGAGACATCGATCTAAGGATAAAATAAGTTTCTCCAAACAATATCAATTCTTTTGTCGTCAAATAATTGATAGAAAAAAGTTCTTTTTCTTTAAATTTTGTTCGTATTCGAGACTATAATAACAAACGCACGCGTATGTTGATACATTCGTTCAAGAAACCAAACGAGATGATTAAAAACATGAATAAATAACAATATAATAGAAAAAAAGTGAAGAAAAAAAAAAGAAAACTAATAAACTAACAGTGTCGATTTCTCTTCTTTCATTTCTTTTTTTCTGCCTTTTTAAAATCGAGTCCACTCAATCATTCAATCAACGTATGTTGATGTCGGTATAAGTTACCATTTTTGCTTGTCAATCTTTGACAACGAGACCCGCATTCATAGAACGCGAAAGCAACAACAGAGAATTTTTTTGAATATGTGTATGTTGATTGATGGCGTAACAATCCGTCAAAATTGTCGCCAGAAGCAAATTTATTCCATAGTTAAAACATTTTTCCTATGACAAACTGTAATATAGTATTGAAACTTGAGCAATAATTCTTGCTAAATGAACCATACTTGTTGTTTATGGTCAACATATTTTTGTTTCTTTAAATCGGGTTTTTTTAATAGTAGAAAAATGATTCTTCAAAGTTACATAGTTGTACATTGATCAATGTTGTCATAATGACTATACTGTTTTTTAAATATAAAATTGTAGTAATCAATTAATATCATGATAGTTGATCAAGTTGGGAATATGTTCATGACCTGTTGAAAGCCATACGAAATTGTTTTTTAATAAATATTATCTTTCGGCAATATTAAATAGTTCGTTGTGACATCATTCATTAGTGTTTGTAAAAATAAATTCTAATCGATTTTTATGTTAATATTTTTTGTTCTATCTGTTGTTATAAACAATGAATTGTATGATCATTATAATTATTAAAAGAATATCTTGATGATAATCGATAATCTTTGATAATATCTAATATTTATTTTTGTTCTAATTTTAACTGACAATGTTTGTGAACAACAAAAACTGATGCCATGATCATAATCATTTTTAAATTTAAATTGTTTCAAGTGGAAAAAAGAAAATCCTGATCACTCTCTTAAACACACACACACATTCTTTCGAATAAAAAGAAAAAAAGAAACAAAAAATAATGAACAAATGACAACCAATTTTTATGTACTAGCTTCATACTGTATTACGCTTAAAAAATAAACAAGAATTGTAGGAAGAAAAGAAGCGCGAAGAGAGAAAAACTCGAAACGCCATTATTGCCACCACCATTGGCAACATGGTGACGTGCATACATACACACACACATTCACATAAGTAAAAACTTTTAAAAATTGTTATTTCATTCTCTCTTGTCGTCTTAAAATATTATACACACATTTGTCTTGACGTGTACGTGTGTGTGTCTGGTACATTTTTGAATCCTAAAATATTCTCTTAGTTATTAGTCATATATTAATATAAATTAATGAATATGGATGAAGTAACAGAACCAGTTGAAGAAGTATCACAAATAGATTTACAAGAACAATTGAATACAGCTAAAGAAGAAATTCAAAGTTTAACTCAACAACTTAACTGTCTTCTTCTAATAGCAAAAAAGTAGAAAATTATCATTATTTATCATAAACATCTCAGTATGATTTTTGTTTTCTAGTGCCTGGCATGGTGATGAAACAGCTACTGCACATTTAGCTCGAGTCATTGGTTAGTTTATGTTATTAGATTTCATATTTAATACATACGTTTGATCATTTCAAGGTCTTGACCCTGAAATTGAACGACATCCTTTTTTTGAAAAGAAAACAACAACACGTTCTTCGGCAAAAAAAACAGTAAAAATTGCCGATGATGATGAAATTGTATCAAAAGTAAATAAATTCTTTAAAACAATCTTAAATTTAAAATATATTTCTTTTTCTAGCAAACATTAAGTCTTGCAAGTTCAACAACAAGTCAAGAAAATCTACAAGAACAACCAGTACATGTTCAAGCGGCTGTTCGGTATGAAATAAAATTCTTGATTTAATAAAAAAAAAAATATATATTATTTGTTTTAGAAATACATATCTTCAACCGTTTCTTAAACAAAGTCATATTGATCCAATACGAGGACAAAATTCTAGACGAATTTTTAATAATATGGTTCGACATCATCAAGTAATAACATTTATTTTTATTTCGAAAGTAAAGTTTTTTTTTCTATTTGGTATTTTCTAGAATGAAATGCGTAAACCACCAATTATTGCAAATCGAAATTCATCAGCAAGTGTTCGACCTCGTGCAACAAAACATCTTTATCGACCAGCTTCTGCTGAACATATTGTACGTCATCTTGGTAGTCCATTGAGTCGTGCAAAACCTTATTTTGTTTTTGCTGGAAAAGAATTTTTTCAACGAACAACTAATTATTCACCGTTATATCAACGAGCACTTGTTACTTCGGTAAGTTTTATCAAATAAACTAAATAAATAATAAAATAAATATTTGATTTTTTTTTTCTTTTGTTTTAATTAGAATGGGTCACGTCAATCAGAACATTCTGATCTTTCTGATGAATCAGAGGTTATACCATCACCAACAACTGAACCAAGTTTATTTCTTTTGTATTCATGTGTTCTTTTTAAACAAACAATTTTATATTATTTCTAGTCATTGCACGTCCACAAACAGCTAAATCTACGCAACAATCATCAGCACTGCGTTTTGCTACACATTCGACGACTACCTTGAATCGTACAAGAGCATCATCTACTCTTAGTAATTCATCAACTACGAAAGTGAAACAAATAAGTGAACGTGAACGACGTGATGCAATGCGACTTCAACGACAACTTAACTTACCTCGACATGGTTGGCTTAATCAACATTCTTGATATAATTAGAGGATAGTGCATGTGTGTGCGGTGAAAAACAAAAGAATATATTGTTTTGCTTTGTTTTTATATTGATAAAAATCATCAGAAAAGATAGAAAACAAATTCTGCTGAGCAGATAGAAATTTGATTTTTGGTCATTACATATCTATCAATTTTTTCATTCGATTATATTCCGATACGAACTATGACAAAGATATTTATTTAGATATCAGGATTAAAAGAAAATATTATTTTTACGAAATAGCTTAATTCTTTTGGAATCGCTTATTGACATGAATACTTTGACTGTAAGCTGATGGCTTATATAGTTATAATATAACCATGTTTGCAAAGACTTCCATACTTTTCAAAAAGGTTTGATGCAAATATGACGCTATTACAAGCCAAAGAACAACAAACTATTATTTTTATCATAACTCTATTAAAGAAATTCTCTCGTTTTTCTTTCCTCTTTTCTATTGACAAGAAAAAAAACAGAATCATTTCGTCTTGACAACAATCAACATACAGTTGTAATTTTCTACGTTCTTATTATTTTTATACTACTCTACCTCGACAATGGCTAACAATTCAGAAGTATGGCCTCCGAAACTCGATGAAAATCAAATCAAAGATCATTCTGATATACCTGTTCATCATAAAACAGTTGAAGAAGTTAATAAAGAAGTATATACGGCTCCAGGTGATATTTCAAATATAGCTGCTCAAAAAATATCTGCTGAAAAAAATTCGTCGAATGATGCTGCTAATTCTCATGCTACTCAACCACAGCTATTAACAAACGAAAGTGCCGTCAGTAAGGAAAGTGCTAATCGACCAAAATAAATTTTTTCTATATATCATTGTATTGTTTTATTCTTGCAAAAAGATATAAAAAGTATATTAAAACAACGTTTTAATAACAATCATATAGTTCATCGTTGTTTAAGTATTGTATGAATAAGTATAGTTACATGATTGTCCATACTAATTATAACGATTTTGATAATAATAAGAAGACGACATGCATATACTTTAATCCTAATCATTATGATTTTCATATTCTTATTTGCATAAATCGTATCATTGTATCACTTACAACTTAGTTCGATCGCTAAAATTAGGTTGTCTGAGCTGATAAGATTTACATTGATGCAGATCAGAAGTAAAAGTTAGATTAAAACAAAATCAATAACGATAACTCTTTGTTGCTGTCACGATAAAAACGAGAGTACAAAAAATTTTTAAATAATTTTATATATATTGTTTTATTGATAAAGAAAAGTACAAATAAGTTCAATGATATGAACTACACTGTCTAGACGTACATCAGTATCGATGAAATTTGCAGTGTGATAATAAATCATTATTTCATATCTTTGAGAAAATAATCAAGACTTCTACAAAGATAAAGTTAAGCTTACGAACGTTTAAAAAAAAACAAAGAAGAAGTCATTGCATTAACAGTATTATAAAAGTAATTAATTTTCATGAATCATGCATATGTAATCTTACAAATTGAGTACGGAAGAATTTCTGTGACATTTTCATAAGATTATTGTATGATCGTCATCTATACTTTACATTCATCTTATACAATATCAATAAAATCAATCGAATTGTTTAGTTCACACAATCGCGTAAGACATCATTTTGTCAAATAAACTCTTTTTCTTTTTAAATTAATTCAACTTGACAAAAGAAATTTGAATAGATGAAGTATGTGTTGTGTATATATAAATAAAATATGTAGATTTTTTTTTTTAAATATTCATGATGACAACTCTTGTCCAACATTATTATTGTTCAATGAATAAGGAAAGCAAAAAAGAAGTTAAAATTTACACATATGCATATATACAAAAGTATAGTTCTCAAGTTGCCGTTCGCCTTTATTTGGTCCATTTCTCGATGTCACACATTAAGCTATTCATTTTTCTTCTTGTATATATATTATTACATCATCCATCAAGAGAAAAAACTTTAATATCACGGTCAATTACTAGTTCAGTAAGCAGTAACGACAGAGAGAAAAGTATTACATCTTGCCTTCCCTTGTTTTATTCAATTTTAATAGTTATGTATATTTTATCAGGTGAACAACATAGACACATATACCTATACAAATCTAGCACCGTATTGCATAGAAAGAGAGCGAAAGAAAACATATCATCATAAAAAAAAAAGAAAGAGAATAAGAGTAAAGTAGGTTCATGACCTTCAGGAATATATATGTACTCTTATGTATGCTTGTATGTATACCATCATTTAAAGTAAAGAACATCCCGACGCATATGGAATATGATAATAATACTTGTTAATAATGGCACTAGTAAAAAAACTGATGAAATAATACCAATACGTTGTTTATTTGCATGCATAATATCGTCTAATGTTGAAACACAATTATTGATAGTACAATTATATGTTGAACGAATTGATGTCCAAATAAGATTTGTTGAATAATTTGAAGCATCATTTTGAAGATTTTGTTTAAGTTGATCATAATAAGCAAAACCTGATGCAACAGCACCTGATAAACATGCCATATAAAGTGATAGTAAAGCAAGACAAATCATTAAATAAAGCCAACGACGTCGTAATATACCAACTATACCTAAAATAATCGGTATAGCTACTAAACCACTACCGATTATCAAAAGTATATGAGCTAAAAAAAGAAAAATTTATCTTATTAATGAATTGTTTAATTTCAAATTGATCTATATATACTAACGTGCATAAATTGAAAAATATGTTTGTTTATCAAAAGCAGAATTAAGATCAACAATAGTATTATACAATGGTGGCTGAAGAAGGAATCCAATGCCAAGACCAATACCTAATAGACATTGTAAAGTAAGAAGTGCGAATAAAATAAGCGCAATTAATTGGATCGTATCTAACGGTCCACATGGAAAATTCATGGCCGTACGTGTAGACCACTATGTATCAATATATTACACCATGATTAATCTGAAAATAAATCTAACTAATTCAAAAATATTCAATATATTTATATGACACAACTGCATCGTTATTATATATATATATATATCTATTTATTTATTTTTTCCTTTTCTACTTCATTCAATCAATTGTTTAACTAAAATAAAACTTATGACTAGATATATTCATTGTGGTTTTTTTTGTTCCATGTCAAAAAAGACAATGAATAGAATAGAGAAATAAATTCTTTCCTGTATGTACATACCAAAGTTTCTTGTCATGCAATCTGTTTTTATTTGTAAGTATGAATAAAAGTAAGGAAAACAAACTAATTCGATAATTAATCCTATTGACGATTTCCGATCGATTTAAAAATTTTTTATCCTTTTTTAGTCTCATATGTATGTCTATTCTTTCGTTCTCTTACTCCTCGTAGTTGAATCATACAAATGTTATAGATGCCAGGGGTACCAATGGAAATGAATAAATGACGGGTTAAAAAGAGGCGAGTAGTGCAAAGAAAAAAAAGAAAAAAGAAACTATGATGATGTAGTGATTGTGATTTATACGTATATATGTTGCAGAGTTGAGAAGACAACGAAGAAGAAGAAGAAGAAAGGACAGAGAACGAAAAAAGAAAAATCTAATTGCATATACTACTGATGTTGCCCTTCTTTTTTTATGCCCACATCTCATTTTTCGCATCTTTATATATATATATGTGAACAAAGTTTCAAGACCAATGCAATATTGGTTAATAGTAATGATATTGGTAAATGAACAATATATGGTTATGCAAACGAATAAAGTTCACTTGTGAACATCGAACAAAAGATGATATCATGAAAACGAACAATAATTATAAATGTCCTTATATTCCTATGTAAGAATATATTTATTCATTTATTTGTATACAATGACATTTGATAATGATTATCACCAGGAGGTATTAGAGAATGACAAAGACAAGTATATGATTTAACAACGTTTAAATTACGTTGAAGGTTATTTCTTTTTTTTTCATGCAATTGAATTATTAAAAGTAAAATCCTTCGTTTGTAGGCTATTGTTACGATAAATGTCATTGAAATTTGAAGTGAACAAATTTTAATGTAAAATCGATTGATCGATATATGTAGAGTAAGATGAGCAAATAAGATTAAATTGATTCTTCGTTTTTTTTTTTGCACTTGAATAATAAATATATTTCATTCTCGTGTAATTGTAGAGTTTAAAAAAAAAAGAATAATTTAACGTGATATAAAAAGAAAAGACACATGTGAAAATATGTGTTATATGAAGAATGAGTTGAACATGTTTAATTTTTAGTGCTTCTATTTTCTTTGATTATGTCAAACTTATCGATGAAACAAATCATTTGTGTATTTTATCATAATATTTTCATATATGTGCAGTTTTATTTGCACATTGATGATCCAAACAATCGTTTCTTTTCAAGGCTTCATTGACAATTATATATCGAAATCCTATAATACTACTGTACTCATTAAAATACATCGATTAATGTTAAGCAATACTTTGATAAGTGTAATATCAACTTAGTTTGATTTATTCAACGGAAGAAATATACATATATTTCATATATATTTTTATATATCAGGTATACATATGAATGGTACAAAAATCATCTTATATATTACATTGATATACGCCTATTCTTGAAATTCATGTCTTTTTTTTTCCTCTTTGAAAATAAAAAGTAATTTTTCTTAGTTGCAAGATGTTGAAATATGATATGAAGAAGTAATATGATACAATTAAAGAAAGAAACAATTGTTTTGTTTATCTATTCGAACAAATACGAATAGCTTTAGAAGTATCTCAGTTGATAAAGTTTATTAACATGTGATAACATCAAGCATGATGAGAAATACTTGATTCTATATATTTATGTATTGGCAATTCCTTTTGTATTTCAATAAAAAACTTGACGAATCAATAAATAGTAATATCTTTAGACATCTTACAATAAAAGCAAACATTACTTGAAAATGTGTTTTATAGTTGTATCAGTTATATGGGTTGCTCTATATTATATTTTATTGTTGGATACACTTTAAGAGCGTACATCATTCCACAAGTCCGATAAATATAAATCCTGTTCTCTAAATTTTGTTCCACACATCCATTCTTATCTCAATGTATAGAGCCGCTTATATTGTTTTGTTTATTGATGATTCATAGGTTTTGTCTAATATTGTAAATATTCAAGCGAAGAAATAATACATGATTCTAACTTTCTTGTTAAATTGCAAAATTCAATTCTCTACAAATTTCTTATTATCTTTAATTTAAATCGATGAAATAAAATAAACTCTATAAACAGCATTAATTGTTTTCATGTTTTCAAGGTTTTTTAAGTTCTAAGTAGATACTTAAGAGGCTTGATACTTATAATTGGACTCTACATAAAATACGTTTCAAGAATTACCTATTAGTATTTCACTACAATCAATATTTACTTAACAGAAATTGGTTATGTGAGCGGTTACAAGAAAAAGAGGTGTTTATAAAGTATTCGAATCTTTTCCAGCTCACTGGCATTATAAACCATTAATTCAACTTCGTACGAGAAGAAAAACAAATTCTCTAAAAATTCTACAAGAATGAATTTGTTCTGTTCATGGGTATCATATGTAATACATTTGTTTTGGAGTGTGCTTGTTAGCGCAGGAAACAGCCATAGCCAAATCCACATTTCCTTGTGACGCTCGGTCCACGCCATGAAAAGTTCGATCGCCAATTAAACAACCTATTTCTTTCCATAAATTAACTATAAAAATATGTAGCTTCTTTTATACCGTTTTATCTCAATAGATAGTAAATTATGCTAGTCTATGCATGAAGAAATTAAATCTTAAAATATGTTATAATTTTCTTATTAAAATACTAAAACAATCCAAGAAATGAAGATTGATTAAACTTGTAAAGAAACTATTAGATTTGAAATTAACAAATTATAATGTTCACATAAAACTACATATCTATTGATCAAACATTTTTAGCATTTATGTGCTTCGATGCTAAACATTAGATAATAGAAGTTAGATAGATTGTTATATAAAACTTATATTTATAATAATTTTCTTACTATAAAAATAAAGTCTTTAGTAAAAATGATTGTATTCACTTCTCTTACAAATCACGACAGATATAACATTTAAAGTCAAGTCTACTATATATTTTTACAAATTATTAAACAGAAAAACTATCACCTTATACAGATAAATAAAAAAGCCATATTGTTAAACACATTCCTCTATTAATAAACTAGGTATAATACTTATCGTTTTTTTTTTTCTCAAGTTTTCAATTTTCTATTAGAAACAATATTCTTAATAAGCTACTCTTTTCTTACAGAATATTTTTATCAGTTGAATATGACTATGGTGTGGCTATAATTGGAAATTATGCTATATGAGCAGACAGTTATTTTGTGGAACAATTATACGAGATTTTCAAGTACCAGTTGTATGCCAATTCGTTTTTTGTTTTTACTATTTTCTGATCATTAAAATACAATTTATTTAAAAAAAACATAAAATTTGCAATATGTTACATTTTTGTTCGTTATTTATGAAATGTATTTATTCGTTTCCATTTATAATATATTTATTTAAGAGGTAATCATTACAATGCTATATCATTTCTTATGCAATATTGACTTAGCAAATTATTTCAGTTCTGCGTGAAATGATTGGCATCATAGATATCTGATATTAATTATCGAATACTTTCTGATGTATTTTGGATGGTAGGCCATACAAAACAATAAGAAGACAAGTTTTTCACTGAGTCTTATTTGCGTAGTTTTGTAGCTCTTAATGGTTGCTATTGATACTAAAAAAATGATTTTAGTTCGAAGCCAAATAGTGGAGAACAAAGATTCACAAGAGTCATCATAAGGTATCTTTGCACACATTTGGAATAGTATGTGATGGATAATGGCAACAGAGCAAGTTTTTTGCAGGCTCTTATCTTTGCAATTTTGTAGCTCTTGATCGTTGCTCTTGATCGTTGCTATTGATACTAGAAAAATGGCTTTGATTCCGAATCAAATAGTGAAGAATGAAGGTACACAAGATTCACCATAAGGTACTTTTGTCTATATTCTGGATTGTATATGATAGATAACGGTGAATGTTACAGATATCATCTTTCACATTTTTCTTTTCTCTCGTTCTTTCTCTTTTCTCTTCTTTCTTTCTTTCCTTGAATATGATATAGTGTTGAATTGATACGGCAGAACGGGCTAATATTATAGATTTAGCGGTTTCACAATATGAGCTTTCTTTTGACATTGAAATCGAAAACCTACAATTTATTACAGATGACATTCGCTGTGATATGGTAGACCCTCTCTTAAAATATCGATTTTTATTCCATTAACTGACTATCTTGAAACCTTTTCAATAAGCTTCGCGCAATGAGTTATCTCGGTTGAGTCTTAGTCAAAATACTGGAAAAAATTACATATCAAAAAGTTGGATTTTTGTTATGCAAATTTTTTGGCAATCCGGAAAAGGCTACAAAAAGAAATCTTCTAAGCAGTTTTGTAGAGAATTCTTTTCTCTATTTTTTGAGACTAGGCGTACTTCAAACCATCGAAGCATTGCCGAGTATTTCATCAGTGTTGGGGCCATAATTCTCTATAAAAACAATTAAAAGATCTAATATTTTTACCGTAAACTTTTCAGACTAAGGTCTATCGAATGGCAAAGTAAAGTCGAAGTTTAAAATTTTGCAGAATTTGAGTGTCCTTTTTTAAGGTGTTGGGCTTGTAGAACTTCTCTCAAGAGGTCAGATTCAAAACTTTTGTGTGTATATTAGAGATGATTAAGTTGACGTTCCTGGGTGAATTTTGGTTCTAGACTTCCAGGTTTAGATAGAGGCAAGAAAAGGTCGATGATAGAGCAACCGATCGGTTTTCATGTGATACAGGTTTGACATCGATTCTTGTTTTTATTATCTTCGTTAGACTTGTCTTGCGTACTAGTAGAAGTATGTTAATGTCGATATTCGATTCGACTGATCATGTATTTTACCGTGAACAAGTAAGACGATAGCAGTTGATCGCACTCTTCTCAATGAAGAGATAGATGAAAATAACTCTTCACCCTCAACATAATTATAACCGATAATCAATCGTGGTTCTATCATTATGATCAAAAACTAAAAGAGCAGTTAAAAGTCATGTAACGATATCAAACAACTGATCCATAACAAAAGCAAAATTCATCGAAATAAAAATTCAGACAAATGAAGAATGTTTGTTTTCTTCATGAAATCTGGTTAATCAAGTCTATGTATCATTAGAACTTGCCGAGAGGATATAAATGCAAACTAGGTATGTCAATAGCTGCTATTGTTCAGGTTTGGTAAACTGTATTCGAAAAAGATGACAAATGAACGGTGGTCGTTGAGATGTCCTTTTTCTATGACAACAATGCAAGATCACATAGAGCAAGGGTTAGAATTAAATTTTTGGGCAGAAAATGGTGTGAAACTGTATTCAAACAACCCGCCGTATTCTTCAGAACGAAGTCTGTGTAGTTATTTTTTGTTTCCAAAACTCAAAATCAACAATGTAGAATTCACTTCGACAACAACAATGCAACGGTGAATATGTTAAAACAAGTAATTAACAGTCTCATTAAAGATGCTTCCAAAAAAAAAAGTCCTTCGGTGATTAATTTAGTCGAATGCATTGATCCTCAAGAACAGTATTTTTGAAAAATTGTACTACAACGAGGCTTTGAATATTTTTGTCAAAGAACTTAAGAAGAAATTTTAATCGTACGCCTTGTAGTTTTTGAGTTAATTTCTTCTAAATTCTTTTTGGTATACTAGAAAAAACTAGAGTACAGAGTTTTTTATTTTATTCACCATTTAAATAAACTACATTGATAAATCTGAGTCACTTGTCTCATAAATACTTTGAGATCGATTAAAATAATAATAAAATGTCATGAAAAGATTATTTGTAATAATTAATTATTATCCTAATTATTTCTGCTTCTTTTCGATATATTTTTTGTAAAAATAAAGTAATGCATTAAAATCGTCTCCAGTTTTCAAATATTCCCATTCGTTATTAAATACTTTTGCAAAATTTGGATCATCTAACTCCATAGGTTCTTTTAATTTGTAATTGAATTTTATTCGTTTGATATTATCGAATTTGGCTAGATTGTTCATAACGGTTTCAGTCAAACTACGTGTACTGTCCATAAGCATATTGACCAACAATCCTCTCGGCTGTTGTAGTAGCCAAAACAAATAACCACCCTTCCAATTGTCGACTGATACTTTTGCATTATAACATCCTGTACCTATAGAAAGTAAACGATAATTGACCGGCTTTTTCCATTGCATTCGTATTACCCATAATGCCGCCAATTCTGGATCATTGGCAAATACGCCACCATCAATAAATGTTTCATCGTTACTATCTCGTTCAAAATGATTATTAACTTTTTTTCTCTTATACATCGTGCACGGTCGAAAGAAAGTAGGAGCAGCCATCGTGGCCTTTAATACATCTGCTATACGATATCCCCAATGTTCAGCATAACTTGTATTAAATATGGTCATGCTGTCTGTTGTTGTATTGTAAGCAGTAATAAGTAAGACTTTTTCACGTTGGATACACGAAGGGTTACTGAGATCGTCAACAAATTCTAACCATTTACTATGATATTGACGATGCAGCTCTGATGTGTCATCATTAATCGTACAATTAGGATTCAATAAATTATGTATATCAAGTAAAGTAGCATCTTCAGCTGTTAGTCGTTTGCCATTTTTTAACTTAATTGTACCAATAATTTCATCAATTTTGTTGTATATAGGAGTAGGATCATATTTATCACGATCAAGTGGCCCGAAGTAGGTAAACCATTGACTTTTGAAATATCGCTTAGCATCTTCATATATTTCCTTGATATTGAATAAATCATGTTTGATAGCCAAACAAAAAGCAATGAGTCCACCTGTACTTGTACCAACGAAGTAATCAAATTCATCAGTGAACTCTGATTGACCTTGTACGAATAGTTTCTTGTGTTCTTGATTGTCAGGATCAAATTCCTTAATGTCGGGAAGATATATTTCTGTTATAAGCTGGCAAAGGACTTTGATGGACATGTGACCACGTGTACCTATGAACAAGAAGCAATGCAAGAACAAATATCTAGATATAAAGAAAGTTGGTCATCTTACCTCCACCATCTAAGCTCAATACATTGATCTGTATTTTATGTCCTTCCGCTTGGTACTTTCCAATTAATGTATGTAAGTCGGACCGTGTTGGTTCTTCAGACTTCGATGATAATTCAACTTCAGATTCTGGCGATGATTTTTCTAAATGCTTTAACTTAGTTATAATATGACCCATCTGATAATCATTTTCAATTTTATTGTTCTTCCATATTTGATCCAACACACATTTTATCGTTTCATCAAAATTTTTCTCCCTATCTTCTGTAGCTTTTTCGACTCCTATAGGATGCATACATTCACTAGTTATCGGCTCATTCAAACCCAGTTTGTGATGCAAGCCTTCGTGATAATTTTGAATGTCTCTTGGCAAATTTTCATGCGTAAACTTTTCACATGTATAGCATAAATTAAACATCTTGCAGTTCTTGCATCGTTTCCATTTAATGCGATCTATACTAACATGACAATTATCACATGAAAAACCCGTGGAAATTTCAGTAGATGGCTTGAAGATACCGCCTGGTTCGCTGCTCATGATTCTATGGGAGCTGCTGTTGACGTGTATTTATAATTCTTCGTTAATGCAATATGGAATCCGATTTCAGCACGATATCTAAAATATTATACAATACTCTTATCAAAGAAAAGAACAGAGGAATATATATATATATATCCAAGAATAATTGTATCAAAAAAAAATATTCGCTTTTGTTCATCTTTCAACTATTCTTGTCTTTCTTAGACAATCATTTATATTTTCCCTTTTACCGTCGGATGGAAAAAGAAAGAGCAAGGTGACTGAAATATTTTTAAAACACATGCCCATGACTAAAGAGAAAAGAGAGACGCATAAATACGAAGAGATTGTGTGAAAAGTGTTGTTTGAAACAACGTCTTGTGTTGATTTTTGCGTGAATGGTGAAGCACCAACATCCGCATTTCGCTCGTTCGTCTTTTTCTTTGGTACTTACCATTTTAATCGCACTTCAAACAATGAGAAAATGTCTACAAAATGGTCCTTTTTGACTACGAACACATATTTTGAAGAAGATTTCATTTGAACATTTCAGAAAAGGTAAATGACGATCGGTACAGTAGTTGCTCAATAGATGTATTCTTCAAATTCCTTTTACGGCATTTCCTTCGATCAAGTCCAATAGATTCACATGCACGACAGAGAGAGAAAAACAAAAATGCTATGCTACCTATGGGGAAGACTAATACCACAGTTAATATGTTTCTAAGAGGGAGAAGGACAGAAGAAACAACGTTGTTGTGCTACTTGGCGAGATGGAGTCTATACTTTATATATAGGTCGTAGGAAGAAGAAAAAGACAAATAATATCGTCTCTGTGTTGGACGAGAGAGAGAGAGAGAGCAAAGGTTGCCTGCATGACCGATAAAGAGAAAAAACAAAAAGGCTATTGTGAAAATGAGGCAGACAGATGCCGCAGTGAATATATTCCCAAGAGGGGAAGGAAAGAAGAAACAACGTCGTTGTGCTACTCCGTGAGACTGGGACTGCATTTTATATATCAGCTGTATGAAGAAGAAAAAAACAAATGCATATCGCCCTAGTGTTTGTTACAGTGATATCGCATGCATACATATGCACTATTTTGTGTTATCCTCTATTTTCTTTCATCTCTCTCATTTTTCTCGTTCTCTATGTATTCATCTATATCCTATATGTCATACGGTTTTTTCATTCCTTTTAAAAATAAAGATCATGCCTACGTACATCAAGGCACATATACACATACACCGGGCATCCCAAAATGTTTGCACACTTTTTATTTTGCGTATATCTCAGTATGAATAAATGATAAAAATCTTCAATTTTTTTTAGAAGATGCATTGTGAAAAGCTCTACAAAAGAAGCCAGAACAAATCCCTACTAACATGTTCCGACAATTTTTCCTATAGTCAGAATGAAACGTCTGCACATTATGCTACTGCCTATCATATTAACTGGTGGGGTAGAAAAAATGGCTGTGTTTGGCATTTCAATTTTCAATCACTTAGGGTGTGGGTGTAGGTACATTTGTTTATACATCAAGTACTGGTACTCGAGATATGTTGGCTCATTTATGTGTTCAAAAATCTATATAATGCAACTAGATGAGTGATCGATGTGTGGGTCAACTTTTTAAGGAAAAAGGATGACTTGGGTGGAAGCAAACGTTGATAAAACATGGATCAACTTTTTTTGACCTAACTTGGTCGATTGAAATCTGTAATCTATACTATACCTAAAGAAAAATAAATGTACCTTCGATTTGTTTTAAATAGTATGAGCAAGTGTTGATTCGAAAAATCAAATATATTTCTAACATAATCAACAAATCTTTATTGAACTATTCAACATCGGCAAAGTTACGTACCATATATCGTTGATCAAATCATTTTTGGATTGAGTGCTAAACTTAAAAATGAATGTCTACTTTTATCAGCAGTCGTCGTAGAAATAAAACGAAGTATGTATTGTGATCGAAATAAGTACCGCGGTGAAGATATAATGAGAGTAGAATTCGATTTTAAACATTATTGGATAGTATTAGTCAACTGTAAATCCATATTTAATGAGTCATTTTTTAATGTATGTGAAGGTAAATTTTTCTAAAACAGACATTTTATTATGTTTTATTATCTAGAGCTCAAGAAAAACGATGCCACATGCTTTCATATCGATAACTAAAAGCGATTGATGGATGTATATATTTGCATTAAAGCAGCAATTGTTTTGTTTTTTCTCTAGAGAATATTTTAAAGAAATTCTCTGACTATTTGAAAAAAATGTTAATTTTTTAAATTTCCTTGATATATATTTAAATACTCCATGATATATATAATGTCAAATTAATTTCATTTGTCAATTGTTCTGATGTGAAAATAATAAGATTAGCAGAAGATTCTTTGATTGATATATTAAAATAGTATTTGTTTTTTAGATTTCAAATTGCACATGAGAAAAACCAGCAAATGATGTGGATGTTTGTTGGTTTAGAAATCTAATGAGCATATACATATAATTATTTCTTTTGCTTTATAACAAAATAATTTAATCAATTCAGTAGAATTTTACAGGTTCGAGTTTTTACTGTATTCATTGAAAAGTTCATCAGCTGCTTTATCGTCAACGATTCGCATTCATAATTTTCTTCAATTGGTATTTTTTACATAAAGCTAGAAAACAATGTATCACTCGATCTAAAACTATATAGAATATATGAAAATCAAAATTACGTAGCCATCGATTGCTGACTAAATTATTTCTACTATATTTTCATCGAGCATAATCAACAATACTCTCCACTAACCAAGCATGATTGCTACGTGAAAAATTCTGAACAACATGCATATGTCCATGAGTTATAATATCGATATCTTTTATATAATTTCGAAAACTATTTGTACTAATCACCATAGTATTGTCAGATATATAAGTTACTTCATTGTATTCTGAATCAATTTCCATAGTAATTTTATATTGACACGAATTTCGATTAAATCGATCACACGTCAATGGTCTTCAATGTATATGATGTTATATTTATGATCAACTGATTGATATATACAAATTTACATGATACGAAAAAACGTGCTAATACATTTTTCTCTCATGTATTGATGAAAATCAAAATCGTAGTTAAACATTATCACTTTGTAATGGCCTGAAAGATAAGCCATTGTATCAATTTATGATGAAATCACGATATAAACTACAGAAAAGAAATAGAAATCAAAACCGAATACATTGTCAACACTGTAGATCTATATATAATAAACACCTTAAAATCAAGAAAGAATGATACATTAGGCAGAACACAGTCCATGATATGTGTATCGTGAAAGAAACTTCTCACTTGTTTTTATGCTGTTATAATTACTAATGCAGGCAATAAAGAAGGATGTTAGTAATGCAGAGAATATTTCAACACTCCAACTGTATTAAAGCGAAAAAAAAATTCCCATTTTATTTCATTGAAATATTTCATAAAAATGAAAAGCAAAAACTTTCATTTGGTGTACATTTAAAGATTTGGATTATTTTTATAATCTTCCCAAAGTTGATCTACTGATCTTCCACCACTAAATTGATTCCAAGAATTACCCGAATAAGTATTACCACGTAAAGCTGCATCAAGTTGATTGACTATATTTGCATAACGCTTTTCACACCAAGCTAAAAATCGAGCAGTTACTCGATATGCATTTGTATAATGTTGATTACGATCAAAGTCTGGTAACCACCAATTAGCAGCTGGATTATTTGTACCATATCTCCATCGAGCATAATCTGCAATACCTTCAATTAACCAACCTGGATCACCACGTGGATAACGTTGAACAACATGCATACCTTCATGTGTAACAACATCTGTATCTTGTGGATTATTTCGAAACCAAGTTGCACTAATTACAATAGAACCACCTGATGCATAGGCCACTCCATTATATCCTGGGTCAATCGTAATCTGAACATCACGAGTGCATGAATTTCTATTGAATCGATCACACATTTGTGGCCTAAAATTTACATTATTATTATTATTTTTCATTTAAAATATTAGAATATAGATGATTGAATAAAATTTACATTGTAGCAAAAAATGTGTCGATACATCTTTGTCTAGTGTCTTGACGAAAATTTGGATCATTGTTGATCAACGTCATTTTGTAGTTGCCGGAAGTATATACCACTACGTCAGCGGACGAGAAGTCCACCATAGCAGCTATTACAATAAATATTACTTTGAATATTGCCATCTGATTTCAGTATATACTATTGTATTTCTGTTAGTTTCTTCATTTATATACCTTTCGGTAAGCCAAAGTAAAACGAGCTATATCATATATATTACAATATATTGTTTTTTCATTCGTCAACGATTTAATTTTTTCGTTAAAACAAAGCAATGATTTGCACAGATGTGCTGTACTCTACCCCCCTATGTTTGAATAAAAATATGATTTTTGTAGATTACGAACTAATACTTTCTCACATTGCTTCTATAATAATTGAAGGATTCAAACAGTTTATAAGCTGTGATTAAATTTCATGGCTGCTATTATGCAAATACAATTTATTTTGCAAAAATAGAAACAAATTTTCTCACGACGAACGTGCATAGATGAATTTTGATAGACGATGCAACAAAGTAGAAACCAAATTAAGACGAAGAATTTCTATGTCGTCAAAATTGCACAAAAGTCGGCTGTTCTATCACGATTATTCAAATAATATTTCTGATGATCCGAGCTAGCCGTAGTATTGGAATTTACCACTATGTCTACGTCGCCTATGTGTATACCATCATCGTTTACCATCGTGTCCATACATGTTTCTAGTGAATGAGGAAAGGGATGAGTTCTTTCTCCCCATTCGCAGTAAATGGTACAAAAAATATTTTTCAAATGAGATATTACTTATTATTCATTGATATGATCAGATGATCTAAACAGAAGAAAAAAAAATATTCATTTTTATTGATATTACTTACTATTGAAGTTTATTGAAAAATCACTGATAAATCGTCAGAGATGATGCGATTTTGATGACAGGAGCTTTTTAAAATGGGAGATGACGATAAAAAATAGCACAACGCTAGAAAATAAGACAAATAAATAATTTATTTTTGACAAGTACAGTGAAAGACAAAGTTAGAAAAAAAAGGTTTTCATAAGAAAATACATAACAAAAAAGGAGTTGTAAGACCATATAATCTTTTGCTGAACCTAATGAACTAGTACATTGCATCATAAAAGTTTTTTCTACTGCGCACTTTTTCATTAAAAAGATTACTTTTACTTTATCTCCTAAAAAATCGTTTAGTCATCTTTATTATTTTTTTCGAAAGATAAAGGTATAATTTATTTTTTTGATTGTTGTTGCTGTTCTTCCCTAGTGAAGGTACTCATCAAGAGAGTACTCAAAAAGTACTCACGCTAGAAAATGCCGCGAGAACTCATGAGTACTCAAGGCTTTTGAGTACTCACCAGTAGTACTCGTGCTAGAATTTGAGTATCTGAGTACGACTATTGAGTACTCGCGCTAGAATCTGAGTACGACCATCGAGTACTTGCCTTAAAATAATGAGTGTTTCACGAGTACTCCTATATAGTTTTTGAGTACTTTAGTCGTTTATGTAAAATACTCATAGGCCTACATTCTGTTCATTACCGTTGCACTATGTCCATTTTATTTTTTATATAAAATTAATAACACAAAATACAATACTACATATTGAAAATATGAGAGAACAATCAATACGAGAGTTACAAGTATTATTTTATCTGCATTAGTTTTTAACACAAATACTAGAGATAAAGAAATATCTAACTTTCTTCTATAATGAACGATGAAGATTTCTTTGTCTCTATCTTATAAAGTAAGAGCACAGTAAACTGATTAAGTGACAGTAAAATAAACTTTGAGAAAAATAAATGATAGATTATTCAGTGAAATTGAAACATGTGATTACAAATAAAGATTCAGTATTGATTGATACACAACAAAAAAGATAAGTGTTTAAAAATCGTTTATATTTACAATCATTTAACAATTTATAAAAAAAAGTAAAAAATAAATTATGCGTCTGTAGCCATTGTCTTCACGTGTGTATAATTTAAAATCGCAATCGATTTGCAACAAAAGTCGTTAGTTCTTTTTTTTCTATTACGATCCATCATCAATCTGAAAAACTTTATGCTAATACAGAACTTTTTATCTAAATTTAGAAATTGAGACTAGAATGAATTTCGATTAATATGCTTAATTCAACATTAAATCTTACTCGCGAAGTTAACAGTTAAAAATGAAAAGTCGTTTTTTTTTTTCTTCAAGTCATCATCCAATGAAATCGTAGAAACCAATCATCAGAAAATGATAGAGGATAAAATATAGAATTCATGGACACAGTTATTCTCTATTTTTTATTTAAAATTACATCGTTTTTCTTTATTACATAGTTTCAATTTATTTTTGTGCATACAAGTGCATAAGTGTTTCACAAAATATTCTGCGAAAAACTCTTATGAGTACTGTACGGAGTACTCGCGTCTTTTTCTGTGAGTTAATCTGCAAAGTAAAACTAGTATAAGTACTCGTATGAGTACACATACAGTATTCATACACATAAAATTCTTCAAGTACTCGTACGAGTAACTTGAGTACTCATGCTGGCAAGTCGTACTCGCTTGATGAGTAGTTTCACTAGGATTTGCATTAACAGAATCATAAAGATCAATCCATACTCTCGATTAACTATATTTAGTTTAGAAAATTCGGATTTTTATAGAATCTAAAGTTAATAATACGAAGTCTTTTAAGGGTCAGAAAATTTAAATGAATAGATTTAAAAAAATCAAAATAGTATATAAAAATGTATTTTTCTTTAGATATACTTTCATATTTATCACATTATCAACCTCAAACGTAGCGAATGCCATAGAAATCTCATGTCTCTTGCTAGAATATCTATCTCGGATGACCTTTATTATCAACTTGAAGCCGATATTCGTCCTAGAGAGGCGAATGCCGACATCCAGAAAGCAGTGTTCAGTATAAAATGGTTCAACAGAAAAAAGAACGATCAGCGAATGACAAAGAGCAAGGTTAATGTAAATTAAACATAGCTAACAAATTAATATGATATGCAGAATATTAAATTATTATTTTCTTTTAACAATTTCGCCTGATTACATGAAACAAGCTCGATTTAATCTTAATGTCCATTCACCATCGAGTGAAAAATTAGTTCTTGATAGTGTTTGCAGAGATGATACTGTATTCTTGACCAATTCATTATTTAAACGTCTAATAAAGACTAATATTGATCAAGCACATAATGAACAAAAAAATAACATTGTCATATGTTCGAGCATTTTTACGAAAGACAGATATAAACCATGAAAAAAAAGTCACTTAATTCAACTTTCTCTTAAAAGGAATAAGATTAAATTGTTATGGCACAAATATGCATATATGGTACTTGACCATTAATTATTCTATTGATTTACTAAAGTTTATCAACTTTAAAGAAGGTTTACATGTTCATGGCTTGTCTGTTAACAACCAATTTATTATCAAAATACAGAAGAAAATTGCTTCAAATCTTGAATATTGCGATTCACCTTTTAAGCACACTATTTCTTTAACTAAAGACTGTTAACCAATATTGTACATCAGTAAATCTAGTGTGCAAGCTGGAAGTTTTTCCTATCGATTCATTAAACAAAGTGCCATCTCTATTTTTGATTCAAATAATATTGACTTGATTGTAGACGATCGGCTTAATAAAACAGTGCATAAGAAAACTCTAACATAAGCTACTAAGTAAGTTTCTCTATGATATTATCTAAGAAAATAGCTTGACCAACATTTTTTATAAACTTTTACCACATTATGATATTTTATATTTTTTTAATTTCATTGGGCTTAAAATTATTTGACACGTATTTAAAAAATGTTCTCAAAAATTTTCCAAGATGCAAGACAACTATTTGTTTTCTTGCTTCTTGTGAAAAGGAAAGGAAAACATATTGAGAAAACAAATCAAAAAAGAGAAACTGCTCTTAACAACAAACGACATACAGTGATTTCTATTTTTATTGGCTGGAGGCTTATAAGCAACCTCGGAATAATGCTTATTGTAAAAATGAAAATGTAATGAAGCGAAAAGAGTATTTTTCTTTTGTTTTTATTTGAAGTAATATGTGCCCGCGCATATACATAGAAAGTCTATCTTATTGAGAACACAATGAGACAATGTCCACCGGTAAGGTAACTAAAACATTTTCAAATAATAGATATGTATTATAAATAAAAGACCTTCACGGTATAGTTTGTCTTTCAATAAGGAACCTTCCTCTGTGCCGAATACAGAGTCATCTGATAGGCTGATAGAAAAGAGAAAGGAGAAAAGAAGAGAATGTCCATCGATTAAATGATTGATTTCTATGTATAGTTGGATTATGAAGTGAAATCATTGGTATTATTTTACAAAAGAAAACTACACGTCATTTACCTTGATATGAATTTTCATCATCTTCATCATCATTTTCATAAGATAAATTCCTATATTTACTGTGCTCAATCTGTGTTTTAGTGTACTTTTACTTTATGAGATGGAGATAAAGGCATTTTCGTCACTAATAGAGAAAATTAGATATTTCCTTATTTTTATATCATGAAAATTTATTATTAATAAAATACACAACAGATATGGAATTGTAGAACAGAAATGATTGCTCATAATACGAAATTAGAGATGATGTAGTTGTACAATTCCTTGTCATTAAATATTTTATTAAAAATAATTTTCTTGTTTTTTAAAGTTTCATTCGTTTTTTTGATCTTTTAAACAAATATTTCATTTTCTTCTCTAACAATGAAGATTTCTCTAGATTTAATATTTGTTTTAAAGTAGTGTAAGGATAAAATGATAGTTATAGTTCTGATCTTCATTGTTTTTTCAAATATTCATTATGGGTGTCTGTATTTAGTTTTATACCTAAATAAAATAGATGTAATATGATAATACTGAACAGAATATAGACTTATGAGTATTTTATATGAACTACTAGAATACACAAAAACTATATAAGATACCCACGAGACATTCAGTATTACACAGTAAGTAATCAATTGTTGTACTCAGACACTCAGATTTTAGCACGAGTACTAGTGACGAGTATTCAAAATTCGCGAGTACCCATGAATTCTCGTGACATTAAATCCAAGGAGGGGAGCAGGAAAACAGCATTATACTGGCTCATCTTTTCATTGGCTTTGAGATAGTATCTACAGATTTTTAATTAGCACAAAACCCGGCTTATTTCTTAATAACTGATTTGTGGCGTATATAATGAAATGTGCATTAAACTCATCGTTGTACTTTGTACTATATACAAATATGTTTTTTCCCAAATTTGACATTTCGACCAATTCGAAAGTTTTATAATCTCATAAGCGAGAAGTTCGGTTTGGGAATGTGCTTCGCATCGAGTTCGCATCACGAGCTTAGCCCATGTGCCATCTAGTTATTTTTGCTGCCATGGTTGAGTGGCTATATTGTTCGACAGCCATCCACAAGGTAATGCACCTGCTCTTGTGGCTGATAGGTGGTTAGTTAGTGTGCAAAAACAAACCCGACAATAGGTGGTGATGAGCACTAGGCAGAGTGTGACAAAGTATTTTTCACATGGCAGCATTGTAGTGAGCGTCTTCTGTAATATAGAAATACTTTGCTCCGACTCTTCAGAAAATCTTCTTCAAGGTTCTGAAAAATGCTTTCCATTTAAACTTGAATTCAATACACTTGAAAATCTAGAAAAAATAATTTTCTCACAAAAATAGGCATCTTAAAAGCCCTTTTAGCCTCTAGAATATCCGGTTTGAATTATTTTTTGAAGTTCTGAAATACACTCCTGTAGAAAAAACGTATGCGAAAACCTGCGACAACAGTTTTTCAGGTTCTACGAATGTTGTAAAATAAAATATACATGTACCTATCAAAAATTGTCCACTATGAGTTTTAGAAGAAGTTTAACAATAAATCATCTTTGATTGGAACCTGTCAATGATAGATCATCAGCAAAGCCAGACGATAAACGCAATTAATGATCTATATTCTAATGAACAAGTAATAGAATTATTTTAAAAAAAGTGTCACAATAATCTAACATTGACTCGTTAACACTGTTGTCATGAATTTCGTAAAACGATGAACAATTCTAAACAAGCGCTGTTGATTAAAAAAAGTTTTTTGTCGATGTGAAACATAGCTGTGTAGCATTTGAATAAAGATGTGAAAGAAAACATAAAAGAGTGAATCGCTCTACATCTAATTCTCATTCAGATATGTAATAACTGACACATTATCATTCCAATTTCCATTGAAAGAAACAGATATTTATTAACAAAAGAAAATATTTTTCTCTCTTGACTCGTATCACCATTTCATTAGTAATTGTTGTTATTTTTCTGTAGTCAAACATACTAGTCATTTTGTGATTTGAATGATGGTTTTATAAACGAAGATGTGAGTGTTCATGTTTTCACACTCACATCCTTTCATATTCTCTATCCGTGTTTAGGAAACTTTTCATCAGCTATCTCTGTTCTTATATATATTTCATTTTTTCAAATTGAAATTTGAGCTTTTTCATTACACAAATAGTCAAATAATTAATTTATAAATAAACTGAGTTTTCAATAATAAAATAAATTTTCTTAGTTCAAAAGAAATGACTAATTTCAATGAAGATTTATATTTTGAAAAATTTTTAGATAAGAAGTTAGCTGAGAACAGCACACTTTCATTCGTCGAAGTTAATTCTAAAATATCTTATACTATTGACAATGTAGATAAATGCTAAAAGATGAAACGTTTAATTTTTGAGCAAGAAAAAAAGTAATAATCACCTTTAGAATGATTATTACAACACTGAGATATCATTTGATAAATTACTATCGATTCAAAATCGTAGTCATCTAATAGTGTAATGAAATAATATAAATGATTATAATCATTATATGACAAACATGGATGTTCTCAATTTTTTTATCTTTAAAAACTTTTCGACAATGAAATATTTTCATTATTATTTATATTTTAATATGAAAATATATTGGTTTATAAAAATTTATTGATGATTTTGTTAAACAGTACAACAAAAATAGACAATTAAAGACTGTGGATGAGGTGAGGGAATACGGACTAGTAGTGTAGTGAATGTGTTTTTTTTCTACTTCATCAATCGATTAAGTTGAAATAAAGAAAAATGTGCATAACTATTATGTTAATGAATTTTTGTTTGCATCTTCATTACTATTCTCCGTATTTTCATGATTATTAGTATCAATACTATGTAATTTACGAAATTGACGAAATTGTTCTTGTTCTAATTCACGCATTAAATGATTCAATGCATAAATCTATAAATATAAACAAAAGTATTTGCAAGAAAAAGAGAGTCTTAGTAAAACAGACTTGTCTTCGTCGAAATTCGGATATTCGTTTTTGATCATTGTCACTTATTAATGTATATAATGTTGGTAGACGTGTTTGAGAATTAATATTTGTTGATTGTCGTTCAAATTTAGAAGATGACGAATTAAACAAATCTTTTTGTTGTTGTGAACGATATCGTTTTAATTGCATTGGATCTATTGAAAAAAATAATAAAATTAAATAAAAAAAATTTCAGATATTAATTACCAGATGTTAAAGTATGAGTACTACTAGTTTTTGAAATAAGATTTGGTAATTTCGATAATGATGATTGATTTGTTCCTGTCGAAATTCGATTTATATAGCAATCACTAGTAAGATTTTTTCCTGTTGATAGAGTAGGACTATGAGCTCGAGGTTTACGTGATATTGGACGGTTTGCTAATGGTACTACACTTGTAGAAATATTGTCATTAACCATTGATAAGTATTGTTTCTAAAACAATTAAGAATTTTAACTTTATTTTCAAAAACAAAAATGAAGTAGTTTTAAATAAAAAAAACGAAATAACTTTGTCTATGATCAAAATATTGAATCATCAGGAGTTTTTCAGATAAGATTGAAATGTTCAATAAATTTCTTGAAAAACGTTCTAAAGAGAACTAAATCATGGTTTCTTCTTTAATAGAAGAAAACAGTAGTTTTGATGATATGTTATTCCTAAATTCTGTTCATTTCAATTTGATTCTTGTTATATCTCACACTGTATTTGTGAAATCTTGATTATTTGATAAATTCTTATTCCATTTTTTCAAATTTAGTTTCTCATCAAATTGTGAATGTAAAAGATTTTGTTCATCTATATATATATCTGTCTCTTATGCAATACATTGGTAATCCAATTTGAAAAAAGCCAATAAAATACTGTGAAAAGCCTTGTCCTTGTATACTTTTTGATTACCTATCAATACATTGACAACAGAATTTTTATTTTTTTAATGTTCTACTTTTGTTGGAATCATATACGATTGAAATTTTACTCTTTGTATCTTAACGTATACTCAGATTTTCGAAAAAGGAGATTACCAAAACTTTCGAAATTTCCATTAGCTCGATAATCACACAGCAATGTAAATCAAAAGTTTTTTGAAATTTCGGTAATAACAGAAATTTCGGAAATGACGTCATTTTGGGAAGTATCGAACAGTTTAGAACACACATGCTTGAAATTTCCGAAATTTGTCTTTTTGACATTCTGAACACTACTGTAAATACGATGATTTACGGTCGTTAACGAGCGTACTTGTTCGATCTGGGTTAGATTCTTATCTTTCTTTTTTTTATTAGAAGATATTTGATTCAAGCATACAGAACTGCCATTTTCATATTCCTTAATATAGAATTGTCATAGTTTCAATAGAAATTGAATAAAAACTTTGTTAAAATTATTGAAAATAATTTAGAAAGAAATTTTTCTTCAAAAGAGAAATGTTTAACAAGTTAAATATGTTGTTATATGATCAATGCATTAATGCAGAGTAACGTCATCAATTGACGAACGCTATTCTATGATTGGTTGACACGAATGATTAGGCTCTGTATCACCGTTATACATACAATTGAAGATATTGATCGATCCGTCTTTTTTTCTTTAAAAGGAAAAGCGTTTTTATTCATTTTTATTTATTTCAACTGATATTTCGATTTCAATTCAATATCATGGATCAAATTCAACAATTTACAGACCCATGTAAACAATTTATGAAAGATTCAATTCGTCTAGTTAAAAAATGTACAAAACCTGATCGTAAAGGTAATTTATTTATTTATTATTATCTAATTTTTCTCAATTCTTTTTTTTTTCAAATTAGAATTTCAAAAGATCGCTATGGCAACAGCAATTGGTTTTGCAATTATGGGATTTATTGGCTTTTTTGTTAAACTTATTCATATTCCTATAAATAATATTATTGTTGGTTCATAAAAAATAAGAAACATTTATTTTCACTTGTTAAACAAAAAAGAATATCTTAGTTTTTGTTATTGTTGTTATTGTTGTTGTCTACTGTGGATTCTACTTTTTATTGGTAAAATATATTCGTAATGAAGAAAAGATTGTTTTTCTTTAAAAACAAGAAAAGAATTTTTTTTTTAAATAATTGTCTTTCATTCTTATGTTAAATTTCATGATGAGCTTTGATTTGATGATGAATCATTTTGATTTTGAGAAGAATGATTAGTATTTGGCTGTGGGACAGCACCGAATGAAAACCGACGTCCAAATATTAAAGTACCAGTCTCGGAAGGATTTTCAGGTGGTTGAGTAACGGTTGTTGAACATCGTCGTTGATTAGTTATATTTTTGTCAACTGATCGACATATATTAAAGCAATAGCTAACAGATGACATAGTGCTAAATAGAAAATGCAAGTGAATGTTAAGCAAGAATAACAACAAATGAATAAATAGTAAATGGCAAGCTTTTTATTTCTTCTGTTGAATAAACACGTCGATCACCTTTTCTACAGCTGTGATGTCTAATAGGTTTTTTCTTTGCTGCGCAAAAAACAACCCCAACCTCTATTCAAAGCTTTTTCTTTACTCGTTCGTATGCGGTAATTGAATTTTTTTGGACGAGAAGGTCGTATGCAATGGGGACAACTTGAGGCAAGACTTGAAGTGTTTTGACGGGCGCAAGTGCACAGGAGAGTGATCAGAAATAAAATACTGCGTAGAAAAAACAATACAGCCTACATAGATTGACAGCATGAGCCCGTCTCGATCGCAAATGAGCGATAATAATACTCCATCAACAAAGAATAATAGATAGACCAATAGGAAAACTACATAAGTAGAACATCTGTTATTATTGAGTCAGTTAATCGCTCCAAGTATCTTCCTTTATCTGATGTTGATAATGTCAACCCACGAATTGCTTCAATTACGTACATAACTCAAATGCTGATTTATAGAAAACAAGTCATGTACTATGGACCCCTCGTGAAGTTTGCACTTGACAAAAAAAAGTTCGATTTTGCACGACGATAGACCGTAATATTTGGTGAATAGAAATATTCGATTCTATGACGTTCAATTTTAAATTTAGATAAAATAAATAATAAAAAATGTGTCTGAAGAGTTCTTTTTTAAGTGCCATAATAACAACATCATACTACTTAGGGTTATCCAAAAGTAATGACGGAGGTTCTTTTTTTTCTTATAGAAAGCTTGAAAAAATTTTCCTTTTTTTATGAATAGATAGAGCGTCTTTCGCTCTATCTTTCTATGCTATTTGACCACTATTAAACTAATATCATAATAATAAAATTTCGATAAGAGCTATTTTTGTTGAAAACCAGCTGCTAACCTTTAGTTCATAATGAGTGCGGTATTTTTGCATTCCACTTTATTATCACATAATATGTTGTATTAAAAAAACAAAATATACCAGAAGATGCAGCGTGAAAAGCTCTACAATTTATAAAGTACCTCTTATTTTATAGTTGTACTTTTTGTTCTAAAAATGGACAAAACTCTGAGTTACTAAGTTTCGACGTGACGAAAACGAGACCTTTTTTTCGTAAAAAAACGAATTCGGTCTTTTTCTATCTTATCTTTGTATAGTTGTTCTTTGTAAATTGTAGAGCTCTTCACGCTACATCTTGCAGTGTATTTTGCTTTTTAAAATAAAATATATCAAGTAATAAAAAGATGAGGTGGGAAAAACGGAATTCATCTTTTACCAAAAAAACAATCTTGTTTTCGCAACGTTGAAATTTGACAGCTCAGAGTTTTGTCCATTTTTAGAACAAAAAGTACAACTATAAAATAAGAGGTACTTTATAAATTGTAGAGCTTTTCACGCTGCATCTTCTGGTATATTTTGTTTTTTTAATACAACATATTATGTGATAATAAAGTGGAATGCAAAAAAACCGCACTCATTATGAACTAAATGTTAGCAGCTGGTTTTCAACAAAAATAGCTCTTATCGAAATTTTATTATTATGATATTAGTTTAATAGTGGTCAAATAGCATAGAAAGATAGAGCGAAAGATGCTCTATCTATTCATAAAAAAAGGAAATTTTTTTCAAGCTTTCTATAAGAAAAAAAGAATCTCCGTCACTACTTTTGGATAACTCTAAGTACTATTCTTGTCGAAGCATTCATTTCTTATTTTCATAGAACTCTCCAGCTTTCTAGATGGCAGTAAAACACAGAAAAGGAAATAAATTGATTTTTTTTTAATGTTTATTCATCGAACCAATCCCTGTTATTTTTCATTTACCATCATCATATTTATCATTTTAACGACATAAGCAGCTGTATTATTTTTCTTTGAAAAACTAGAATCTTTTTCATATTTCTATTTTACAAATGACAAAAATATTTAGTTCATTTAATGATGTTAATGATTTTTCATCAGGATCACATCATGTTTTTTCACATTATTGTGAAAATGATAATGAATCTTATTCTTCAAAATATTTACCACCAATACAACTTCCACCTTCATCACCATTATCATCACAAATAAATAGTAAAGACAATGAAATACGTAATGGCCATCATAAAATTCATTCACCAATTATTATTGGTAAACCATTTTCTGCACTTATTAATTCACTTATTCCATCGCCACAATTATTATTACATGATACTGATGAACAAACCATATATGATGAATATGGTTTTCGTATTGATATTAAAGAAAATGAACAACATTATGAAATTGTACCTTGTATTGAAAATGAACAAGCTAAACTTCGGTGGCTTACACATCTTGATTCAACATATAAAATTGATGTTATTCATTTACCACTACAAGAACAAGAATTTGTAAAAAAAATTGATCCAAAACAAATACGACAAGATACAAAAATTCCATTACTTTTACAACAATCATTTGGTATTCCATTATCAATACGTGCTCAAATTTGGATGTGTCTTAGTGGTTCTGTACATAAAAAACATCAAGCTAAAATGTCTTATACTGATATGCTTAAACAATGTAATAATGATACTCAACTTTATTCGAAACAAATTGAAAAAGATCTTTTAAGAACATTACCAACAAATGCTTGTTTTATGACAATGAATGCATCAGGAATATCTCGATTAAGACGAATTTTACGAGCAATAGCATGGCTTTTTCCAGGTAGAAAGAGAAAAAAAAACAAATATTTTTTTTTTTTGAAAAATTGTTTCTATTTTTAATTGTTTTAGATATTGGTTATTGTCAGGTAAGATAAATTCTCATAATTTTATTCGACTTTTGATGAAAACAAAAATTATCAATCAATTTTTGACATCAAAAACTTGAAGAGTGGCTAAAGTTTGACAAGGAAACCTTCTCAACTTGAAAATCACTTAGCACCAAAAAGATAAAGTTATCTAGATCTTTCCTACTGAATTATAGTCGTTTTATTAAAACTTTAGCCTATAGAATAGTATGTACAAAAGAATCGAATAACAATATTGGAGCGTATCTGTACACAAAATTTTAGGTCAAAATATTGTCATTCAATTCTTTTTTACTTATCGTTCTATAGACTACGATTTCAATCATGTTTCATCATCTTTAGAATCTTAAATAATACAGGGTAAAAAAATTCCGGTATGTCGCTTAATTCTTTTTCTATGGCATAAATCTCAACAAAAAAAAATTATAGCTTGAAAATTTGATTCAAAAAAAGTCAGAGAATTCATATTCGATATATAATTACATTTATCTGTTTTTGTCTTATCTGTTAGGGTATGGGTGTTATTTGTGCAACATTATTATTATTATTCGAAGAAGAAGATGCTTTTTGGATGATGTGTTCTATTGTTGAAGATCTTTTACCAGGTCAATATTATTCCGTATCATTATTTGGTGCACAAGTTGATATACGTGTATTTCGTTATTTAATTCAACAATATCTTCCAAATATTCATAAATTATTTAATGAACATGATATTGATTTAACATTAATATGTTTTCAATGGTTTTTAACATTATATTCTAATGTATTTCATACAAAATTTATTTATCATTTATGGGATTATTTTTTTCTTTATGGTTCAATTATATTATTTCAAATAGGTTTAATTATGTTTAAACAATATGAAGAAATTTTAATAGAATATAATAATAGTGCACAAATATTTAATTTTCTATGTGAATTACCACAATTATTTGAATATGAATATGGTAATAATGAACAAATATTTCAAAATTTACCAAAATTATTTAATTTAACATCAACAACAATAGATATATATAGAAAAAAATATTTAGCTGAATTAATGTCACAAGAAGGTTTTACAATAAATCCAAAAATGAATTTATTAAATTTACCAAAAGATATTTTATCACGTCGTTATAATCAAAAATTGACATCTACAGATCGATCAAGTGGATTTTTTTCTCGTAATAAATCAAATTTAATATCAAATAATTGTCAAGCACTTATTGAACGTAATATAACACAAACTGAAATGCTTGTTAATTTACGTGAAGCTATACTTAAAATAGCAAAACATTTTAAAGATAATGATCCTGAAGGATATACACAACAAAACATTGATCTTAATGTTGATTATTCAATTGAATCACATGTTAAAGATCATGAACATTATGCTAATATATCATTACAAAAATGTAAACGTGCTAAAGCTTTATTAGATTTTGAATGTCAAGATTCAAATGAACTTGGTTTTAAAAAAAATGATATTTTAAAAATTTTATCAATGTCTGATGAACATTGTTGGATTGGAGAATTAAATGGTAAACATGGATGGTTTCCAGCTAAATTTGTACAATTAGTTGATGAAAGATCAAAATTATATTCATTAGCTGGTGATGATAGTGTTAATGAAAATATATCAGATCTTGTTCGAGGAAAATTAGCTACATGTATCAAGTCAATATTTGAACATGGATTAAGAAAAACTTCGACTGTACTTGGTAAGAACATGAAAATAAAGGAACTTTTTTTTTAAAATTCTTATTTATATTGAAGCAGCAACGAAACAAAAGAAAAGAGAGATTATAATTCCCATATGATTAATGAATAGAAAACTTTAGATTGAAAAATCGATTCGTAAAGTTGAATAAATCTCGACTATAGAAACAAGTAAATCTCATGGAAACTGATCGGAAAGCTACAGACATCACTGAAATTTGAAGGCAGTATTTCAAACCGTGAACTCACCAGATTTTTTCGATGGTTTCCGTAGTTTTCCATCAGAAAGAACAAGACATTGGTCGGTAGTAACTTAGAAAATCGGAATACTGTATCTAACGAGGGAATCTCTCCAGATGTAAACCTTGATATTTACACCTGGAGAGATTTCCTCGTAAGTTCCATTGTTTTCTAATGTTCTTCTGATGGAACCGACTCGCATTGATTTCACCTGAGAAATTCAGATTTTATTCAAAACTTTCTTTCATAGCTGAGTGATTCCAATCCTATTCACAGCAAAGCGATGATATTCACCATTTTTATACTACATAAACATTTGAAACTTGCGAGATAGTTTCAGTTTCAACAATATTTTTGTTTTTTAGCAAAATATGAATGTTTTGCATTACCATGTTTATTCTCTCATTTCAAGTAATTCTTATAAAGAATAGATCAAAACAGACTATGTGTATGCTTAAATAATCTTCTTAAGCTTCAGAATGAAAGTGAAATCAGTAAAAAAAAAAAACCTTGTCAGAACTAAAAAGTTTTGTCAATAAAAAAGATCATAAAAATGGACCGACATCATTGATTTTCATTTCCGTGTTTTTGTTTATGATTTGTTTTAAATAATGAATAAAAAGACTCTTTAATATATTCTATTATATTTCGATCAGAAAAATACTCATGTCATTTTTTTTAATAATCTGTTAGTCCGTACTCGGAGTTGTTTTAGTAATAATTGTTGTTATAACCTTGATAAAACTAACAACTTGAAATGATTGCTCTTTTAACAAGTTATATCAATAATTGCCTACAATCTGTTTTCAATGAAGTTAAGACTACCATCTGTTACACATACGATAGACTTCATTAGCAACACAAGAAAAAAATCGACTATTCATAAAGATATAATAAAAACTCGTTAATTACTTTTGAATTGACTTGCATATTGTTAAAATGCCATTAGATTCGATAGAAATCGGTTTTTTTTTATTTTTCTTTATTTTACAGGTGGTATTTGTCATCCATGGTTATTTATTGAAGAAGCAGCATTACATGCAATAAATAAAGATTTTGATAGTGTTTATGCTCGTCTTGTACTTTGTAAAACATATCGTTTGGATGACGATGGTCGAATATTAACACCAGAAGAATTATTATGTCGTTGTATACGTTCAATTAATTATACACATAATCTTGCACATGCACAAATGGATGTTAAATTGCGATCATTTATATGTGTTGGTCTTAATGAACAAGTTCTTCATTTATGGTTAGAAACATTATGTTCATGTACAGATATTATTAATAAATGGTATTTACCTTGGTCATTTTTACGATCACCATGTTGGGTAGGTTGTTTTTTCTTTTGCCTACAGACCGTGGCAAACGTTGATATGTAATCACAGATCATATATCAATAACGTCTCGTGATAATATGTAACCTACTTCCTTATTGTATTTCGGAAGGATTCAGTGAAAGGATGATGAAAAAATGTATTCCACAATAGATAGAATAAAATAAATCTTTATGTGATTAGCAACAGTAGCTATATCACGTAGGGATTGTGCTAACTACTCTTTTTTCTCTTTTTATAATTGATTTTTAATATAGGTTCAAATAAAATGTGATCTTCGAGTTCTACAACAATTTTCATTTACTCTACAACAAGATTTTGAATTACCAGCTGCTTATAGACAATTAGATGTTCTATCAAGTGTACGAGATATGTTAATGAAACATCATCTATTTAGTTGGGATCTTTAAATTTAATTTCTATTTCGTTCGATGATTTTATGTGCAATAAATGTATTCGATATTGTTATTTAAATGTCAAATCAAAAATGAAGACGAAAAACTATAATATATTATTTTATTTTTATTTATTTTTCTTGTTGTTGTTGCTGTTGTTGTTGTGTATTTCCACTAAATTATTAGAGCAAACGAATATGAAAAAAACGACAGTGATTACACTTGTTAAAGATTTTTATTGATGTCGTTGTGTTTTATGTTGTAAAAAGCACAAAAACAAAAAATAAAAAAATTAGTTATTGTTCATTTTATTGCAAATAATAACTATGGGTGTTGCAAAAGAATTAGGTTATAGGGTAAACTCATGGTTATTTAGCCAGTTTTTGGAAAAAAAAAGTTTGTTGACTTTCGCCTGAAATGGTAATGATTTCGAGCACTTTCGAAGAATGTTTAATGAAGGTCTCATTAGCGATTTCAAGTTTTTAAGCTCATATGTTGTCGATAAGTAGAGAATATCTAAGCTGATACAACTTCCGAACATTTCTTCTTTTCATTAAGATATGATCGAGTTATGGAACATTTATATCTTGGTTCAATTTCAATAAAACGAAGAATCTTTCGGAGATTGTATGATATTAGATGTTCTCTACTTAACGGCAAAACACAAGTTCAAAAGCTTGAAAGCATGGATAGAACCTGCATTAGACGTTCCTAGACAACGCTCGAAATCTCCACCATTTCAGGCGAAAGTCAAGAAAATTTTCCATAAAAGCGATTGAATACCCATGGGTTTACTGTATACTTATTTCGAAGAATTTAACAAAACTTCATTGATCAAATGGTTTTAAGTTTAATAGATTAGGTATTGCTAATATATATATATATATATCATTAAACATTTTCCAAAAATAAAACAATTATTTTTATATAATTAGATCATTTATTTTAGAAATATTGAAATATGTTTTCTTTTTATTTTAAACGATAATGAACAACGTTCATTTTGCAATATTTTAACAATACATTCATACAAGTGCAATAGAATTTAAATGATCTAAGTTAACAAAAAAAAAAGGAAAACCTAAAAGAAAACGAAATGTATAATTTCTCTTCTTTTTTCATTATTATTATTTTTGCCAAATTCGAATATTTGTTGGTCGAAGTTCAGCACTAGCTTGTAATCGTTGTTGTATCATTTGACAAAGTTGTACATGTATTAACATTGATATAGGATCATGAGTGAATACATTAAGACTATATAAAAATTGAAATTGATCTAAAAATAATTGTATTGTTTCCGATAATGAATTATTATTTGGTAAATATAATGATAGACAATTTAAATTTAAATTAAAAAAATCAATAAAAATCGTTCGATCATTTAATGAAAGATAATCATCACGTAAAGTAAGAATACGTATTGATAATGGTGATTGTAATATATTTGTTTTTATTAAACGAAGTAAATAATGACAAGATATATCAAGATTATCTATATGTTGTGCACTTTGTTGTAAAAGATAACGTAAAAGTGAATCATCAAAATGACATGGAGATGGTAATATTAATTTACGAATTTTTGATAAAAATATTGATTTATTTAAATATGATAATATAGAAAAAGTTGGAATCATTTTTGAATGATTTAATTGAACTAATTCAAGTGTATCAACATTAGGAAAAAATCTTGTTACTAATGGCCAATTTGATGTCATATTTAATTTTAAATAATCAACATTAGCATATGGATCATCAACAGGCAATACAGCTGATGAAACAAGACTATCTGTTGTTATATTCAATACTTTAAATGATGGCATAGGTACTGAATAAACATGAAAATCATTTGAATTCTGTCTAGATTCACAAACAATATTCCAATTTTTCGAAAGATAAAATGAACTTTGAAACGATGCTGCTATTTCACATATATCAATAGAATATGTATTACATAAATATAAATTTATTTCAAATTGTTCTAATAAAGGTAAACGTTCAATTAATAATTGACATCGATAACCATCAACAATAAATGTTTTTGTACATTGAATATTATTTGAATAATATAGTTCTCTTAATTGTAATAAATTTAATAGAAATTTTTCACATAAATGATGTTCTACATTATAACTACGTAATTTTAATACAGTTAATAATGGTATATGAATTTGATTTAAATCAATTTCTGTACTAATTAATGTTATATCAAGATAATGTAAATTAGGAAAAAATGTTGAAAAACCAATTAAATCAATTAAACTTAAATGACTAACAGTTAATTTTTCTAGTCGACAATATTCTGAACGAAATTGAACAATACTTTTTGAATGAATATTTAATTCAATTAATTCATTCATTTCATCAATAAGTATAATACGATTATTATCATTACATTCAGGATTTTCTAATGTTAAATGAGTTAAATGAGATAATTTTGTTGGAAATAATATATGATATTCATCTAATGCTGATTGAATTAAATATAATTTTTTTAAATTAATCATTTGATCAAATGATATTTGACTTAAAAATAAACGTATTTCTCCAAATGTATATTGATTTGATAATGTTAAATCATGAATTTTTTCAAGAAAATTTTCTTTTGATTTTATATAACGACAGGTAAACATAAATTGTGATTTTGTCATATAACGTAAATCTAATTTTGATAAATTTATTGAACGAAGACGAGTATTTATAAGTTCATGTATTCGATTATTATGATGTATTAATTCATAAAATGAATAAATTATTTCATAGAAATATAAATAATCAAATATATCAAGAAGAATTTCATCAGGAAAAGCAAGTAAAGACATCTTTTTCAAGTTTTTTTTTGAAAAATGAAACGAATGATATGAAACACTTATTGTCTTATCTCTAACTATGATATGAGTAAGGACGTATTATAAATATAGAAGATAATATAATATATAGACTTACGAGAAAAACGAATATTGTACTTGTTCTTTAATGTGAGACAAGTTCATGTAAATAATTTGCTGATTTTATTTTTCAATTATAATCAAAAATTTGGACACGATTAATAAAATATCTTGGATATATATATATGCAACAGAACAGATTCAATTCTTATTATCGACATAGAACTCTTTTGTTTTTTTGTATAGCATAGGAATTTGAGGTCGTGACACATCTCAAATTGTTACTAACTTCTACTAAACTTCTGATCGCTAATTTCTAGTTTTTTGACAAAAATAACCTAAGACAAACAACAGAAAAATAGAAATCAGAGATAGGAAAAAAAAGACAAATGTTATTTTGTTGATACTAGTAGTTTTCTGATTACAGTAACAGCGACTAGTCATTCCACCCTAATGATGTACTCTTACAATCATTGTCATCCTCACCCCTGACCCTCAAGACAGTAAATTTCTGATTTTCTAGCTATTTTTGAAATGATAGAATTCAAGAGAACAGATAATTACATTTATTTTGATTGAAGTTCCTAGAATTTTTTCAATTTGTAGAAATTTTGACTCATAAATTTCAAAATTAGTGCCCATTTGAGATTTTGTCATTCACTGAAGAACTTTTCGGTATAGTAATGCTATGAAAGATTTTTATAAGATTAATCAAGTGCAAATACAAGATATTTTCCAAGGTCCATTCTCACATTAGATTAGCTAATTTTTTTTTGTACGATTGCAAATAGAATTATTAGTTCGTTCGATGTATCGACAGACTTTAGATATATTATTCAAGACGATCATCTTTGACATAGACATAACAACTCAGTTTTTATTTCTATGCTAATTGAAAATTAATATATCATCATTGAATATTCAAACTTTATTCTGATCTTTCACTGATACAGAAAAAAAAACCAGAATATTCTCATGCGAAATAGACTAATATGATCAATGATACTGATCACAATGTGCAAGAAATATCCATATTCTTTTTTTTATCTTGGCGCACCCACCTGGAGTGTCTGCAAGACCTAGAGCATGAAGATCTATCTGAACATATGGTTAACTATGTTATCAGATTAATAGACAACTACATGATATCAATTAACACAGTTAATAACTAGTAATTTTGTTCACCATACTATAGAATAAAATGATAAAGATATCGTATGATCTAGGCTGAAAAACAATTGACTAGATCAGGATTAATCCTTAAACAAAAATTTGATGTCTTGTTCAGAATACCATTATAAATATTTTGATAAAAATGAAATATATGTAAAAAAAAATCAACTGAATTCATTTCCACTTTAATTCACTAATACTACAATAGTTAGATCAAAAAGAAAAATATCAAAAAACTCTTAAGAAAATTTCAACTAAGAAGACATATTCTTTATTTTTTGGTACAACACCAACATTGTAAGTAGGATCACACACAAGCCATGAAATAGGAAAAAAAATGAAAATATTTATAAAATATCATGTTTTCGTTGAGCAACAACAAATAATAAATGATCTAAGTATTTCATTGCATTTAGAATATCAGTATAGACTTGAGCATTCCTAGAATACTCACATCCATAATAATAAACTCTAGGTGTAGTGTCAACATTCATTAGAAACATCAAAATTTTCGATATTTTTTCAATGAAAAATTATTTTTTGTAATTACTCAAAGTTTTACTTTAATATCTATTCGATGATCTAGTATTATTTTGATCGATAGTTTTCTCTACTTATCATTTTAGTATATGCAGTGATTAATTCAAGAAAAACATAATACATCAACTTAAATACATCTATTAGTACGTGTATTATCGCAGATGGATATATATACATAAAGACTAATAGGGTTTTCTGATAAACTATAAATCTTTTATTAGCAAATTTTCCATCGACATATTTTTTGTCCTATGATAATCAACAATAATTAGTCAATAAACCTTTTCATTCTATTATTTTTCAATGTCACATTATTCTTCTTCTCGATCTTTGATTTCCTGATAATATTTGCAAGACCTATTATAGATGCAAATATGAAGGTCACAATTATTGGCATTTCTAGAACTATCATATTTATATATATATATATATATTGTTGTTAATAGTCTAGAACAATATAAAGAAGGTTCATTTTTCAATTTGATGCGTGTATACGCCGTTAGCTGCCAATTTTTTTTATGTTATATTTTGTATGAGTCAAAACATGAGAGCTACTCTCCCAACTACCACCGGGATTTGGCAAGAAAAGAAAAAAAAGATAAAGAGCAAAACAAAAAAAAAAGAAGGGTGACAAATATAGGCAGCATTACGCACACGCACACACAAAATAAGAGAAATAAGCAAGAAAAAAAAATCATGAAGATATTGCCAAAAAAAAAACAAAAGAGACTAGTGAAGAAAAGTTATGAATAGCACAAAGACGCAAAAGAATCAATTGAGCATGTTCACAAAAGAAAAAAACAAAATAAAGAAGGTGCGCACACACACACGCATATCATTAATATACAACAGTTCTAAAACGCACTGTAAAAACACACATATATATATATATATGTACGCGCTTTGTTTTTCTTTTCTTCATTTTTTTTTCAAGTGTGCAATATTTGATTTAAAATATCAGACTAATCATAATCGATGTTCTTTCATTGCAACTGGATGTGTATTAACAGCCATCATATAACTATAACGATTAGAATTTGTCAAGTTTATATTAGGCGATTGTGAAACCTTTTTATAAGCAACTGTTGATGTTGTTCGTGTAGGCAAAATTTGATGCTGAGGAAAAGTTTGTTGTTGAGTATTATGTACACCTGATAAGGCTTCAATAGGTCCTATAAAATTATGTTGTTGTGAATCCTGTTGTTCATTAGTATTTGTTTTGAGATATGAATAATCTAATTGTAATTGTTGAAAATGTCGTCGAAGACGATCAGCATATGCTTCATATCGTTTTAACTTTAAAAGACAAAAAAACAAACAAACAAACTCTATTAAATAAAGCTTGAAAGAAATTATGATTTTTTTTACTTCATATTCAAGATATTCAAATTTATCTTTATGTTCCATTGTATCTTGTGCTTTAATTGTTGTCGGTTGTTTAATATCTCCATTTGTATTAATATTATTTTCATTATTAATTGTTGTATATGAATGAGATTTTAATTCATTTAACTGACGTGATATTTCATTTATTTGATTAATTATATATTCATATTGTTCAAACTATAAAAATCAAATATTTGGTTTTCTTTTATTATCGAATTAATTAAAAAAACAAAAAAAAATTCTTACAACAGAATAACGTGTTTGTACACTAGGTAAAAGGGGTCGTTGAAAATGTATTGATGATGAATCAATAGCTGCTGGTAATGGTGGTGATGAAAATGATGCTGCTATTAAATTAATAGCATCAATCCATTTTATCATTAAATCATGATCACTTGTTTGAAATAAACATTCAGCCCAATCAGCTGTTTTTAAACGAAATACATGTTGACGTTTACGATAATCAGTAGCTTCTTCAGCATATGCATGATGTAAACGTATTGCATTTGTATCACCAACTAAAATTGTTGCTGGTTGTTGATCATTTTTATGTAAATAAAGAACCATATCACGTAAACAAGCATAATATGCTTTCCAACTACGACGCATAAATGGAGCTAAAATAAAATTAATGAAATTTTTTGTTTTTATTATTTCAAATTATTTATTTACTTCGTTTTCCATCCGGCTCCACACAACATTTTCTCATGACATAGCCCTTTAAAAAAAAAATTTCATATTTAAAACAAATGATTAAGTACACCAAAAACAAAAAAAAATAAGAATAATTTTGTTTTATCATACCTGCATGTATTCAATACTTTTGCTTGTATCAGGAATCTTTAATAAAGAATGAATATTTTGTTTTTTGTTACATCAAAATATTAAACTTACTTCTAAAAATGGATTAACACAATTACTATATCCATGTAATGTTCCTTGTCCACCTAATCGTACATCAGTATAATCATCCGAAGCAAGAGTTCTAGAAAAATAGAGACGGAAAAAATCTAAAGGTTAGTATTTATCGTTTTTCTTTGTCATATGATCGAATGTCAGATAAAAAAAGAAACGCATCTGTTTTTATTAGTAAGGAATAACATTATAATAACGTTATTTTAGTCTAACAAAATAATAGCTTCTCTGAAATACATCTTGGCAATTAATTTTTGCTTTCTTCTTTCTATAACTTAATAATATGTATTAAATAATTATATAATTAATGAAGATTTGTTTGTTTTAAGCTTAAAAGATACGTTTGTACAATGTTCTGTTTGATAGAAAAATGTCAAATTTTCACAGCTCTTCTCTCTTCTGTCTAATGGATTATCTATTTTTTGCTTTCCTACCTGTACGTGCTTATGGATATTATTCGTCTGTTTTTCTCAGTTATTTTTCTTTTTCGTCCTTTCTTCCGTTGATGTCGTTAAGCAATCGTCACGTCTATGTACATCTCGAACATATGTCATTTATCTCTGTACGTGTGGAAGTCGTTGGTTGATGTCTCTATTTTGTGGTGTGTAGACGCATGTGCAGAACGCAAAAACTGATATATATATATATATATACAATGAAGAATAGAAATGCTCCTTTTTCTTTCTATAAAAATAATTGTCAAAATGAATAAAAATATCAATTTGATAGTATATTATTTCTTGATAATCTTCTACTACTTATCTATCAAGAAAAAACAACATACATTTTGCTTCTATCTTTCAACACACAATTTATATATTTTTCTTTTTATTTTCTATATTATGTATTAAACGAGCTACAAGTATGAATATAGAAGGGTAGCTCAATAATAAAATTAGAAGACAAAAAACCTCGAGAACGAGTAATTTGTTCAATGAAGATGGCAAAAGACATTTTACGCGTGAACGAGAATGATCACTAGAATGAATGTATTACATGCATACACATGTGCGTCGCTACTTATACACGCAAACTAGTTTCCGGTATGTGTTAAATAACAATCGACAAACTATACGTTTAATTATACTTCGAAGGTCATAGAATATATTTTTAGTTTTAGATATTTGCTTCTCTGTTTTTGACATAAAAATAAATAAGATGATTAAAACAGATACCTTTCAAATTCTTCTTAATCAAGAAAAACATCTAATTCTTCGTCGATATATATTCTTCTGTAGAAATACTATCTGTATGACAAATCGTTTCGGCGGAATGACGGCGTTTGTCAATTTTTTTTCCCTTCTCTTTTTCTTTCTTTCTCTATCAAACTAACTTCTTTTCCATCATCATGTCAATTAATCACATGTTGAAGTGAGAACAACGACTCATATATATACATGGCAATACAATTAGTTGTTTCCATGCTGGTATTAATACAGGTCTACGTGATTACAAGCACATGCAAGTGCCACAATCTATTCTACATTGATAGAAGGACAAAACGATCAACGAAACTGTTCTCATAATAAAAAAAAAAGAATCTAATGCTAAGATTTTTTTTGCTTTTTCTTCTTATCATTCTTTTTTTTTCTGCTTCTCTGATCAGTTGGAAGTCTCGGTCAAGAAAAAAAAAACATTATTTATAACTAACTGTTGTGTGTGCCCGATCAATTGATCGGATAAGAAGAAGAAAAAAATGCATTCGCTTTTGCAAGAGAAAAAAAATTTACCGCCTAAAGCAATAGCATATGCATTTGTTTGATGTTCATCGTACTAATTTGATTTAAGAGTTTATTGAAAACATCTATTTACAAACACTTACGTTTCATCAATAAGTTGTTCATTTTTAATTGCATTGTATAATGATTTAAGTAAATCTTTCGAAAAATCAACACCATCATTTAATTCATGTAAATTATCACTAAATTGTTGAAATGTCATTTTATTTGTAATTTTCTATTTAATAAATAGAAAACAAACAGAAAAAAAAAATGACTTGAAACAAAAAAAAACAAATCTTTTTGTTTTTTATTACTTACTGAATCATGAAGATCCGTATTGAGCAACATAATTGCACAAGTCAACATATGACACGCATCTAAATAATTGAAAAAATGAAAATTAAGTTTTCTAGTTATAAAAAAATAAGACAAAAAGAAAAGAACTGACCAACAGAAGTAAATGTGGTTGGGTTACAATCAAGATATCTAGCAGCAAAAAAATGTAAAACACGTTCACGATCTTGTGCTTCACCGATAATTGTAAATTGTTTAACAAATTTTCTTAATGCACGATCAAGTGTATCACCTTGAAAATCAAATAATTTAACATATTCTTCAGCTACTAATTGATTAAAATCATTCCTGGAATAAGAATTACAATAATCACAATTAGAAAAACAGCAATAAGATTTCCATATTGATAAAAAAAACAAGGTCATGTTCAGTTTTTCCTTGAGTTTCATAGAATAGAAATAAATATCGAAATCTTACTGTCATCCTATCTTGTCTAGTTTAGCTGGAGGATAAAGAAGTATAGAAAAAAAAGACGCAGAGAAAAGTATATATTATTCAAAAAAAAAAGGAGAAATAATAATCTAATCTTCCCGGCTCACCGAACAGTTTTATCCGTCGGCATAAATAACGACTATGGAGATGGAGATGATGAACAAAAATTGTTTCATTCAAGCGAAAATATCATTTTTTTTTCTGTTTTGGTCAACATAATCTTTACAATGAAACATGGATCAAATCAAGCTTCGTACACACACTTCTAATAAAAGTTCATCGTTTGCTGTATGTTCTTCGTTTTTTTTCTTGTTGTTGTAGTTTTTAATGAGAATATGAATACCGACGGAAATTCTAAAAGTTCTTGTCGTTCTTGAATAACATCCTATTATTTTTTTTTTTCGACTCCTTTGATAATCATATTGACAAAATGATTGTGACGATTTTCTTCGTTTCTCTTTTCTTTAGTCATAGTAACAACAACAACAGTAATAATAATCATAAGTGAAAACAATGAGTGTCTCTAATTTGGATTTCCTGTTGCTCTTAAACTTAACAGAATAACGACGACAAAAAAAAAGCAGATTCTATGCGTTTGCTTAAAATTGATTTAGTTCAGCTTTTTTTTTTTTTATTTTTCTTTCATAAATAAATAAGCTTCTTTTCTAGCGAGTTTTATACAATTGGAAAATAAATATTACCGGTTAGAATATATAGAAAAAAAGAAATAATAAAATAGTTACTTTAAACAAACAATATTTCATAACATTCAACAATTTTAGAAAAAATTTCTCTTTTTTTTTTGTTTTTGTTAAAAACAAACTATATGCATATATAAATACGATGAAATAAAATAAAATGCACATACGTTCGTTCATTCGTACAGGTACAACAGTCGAACAAGCACATTCCAAACATGCACACATGTTGCTGTTTATTTCTTGGTTAAACTGTTCGCACGAACAGTAATATCGACGATAACAACTAGTCTCAATGACAGGAGACGAGATAATGAACGTTTTCTTGTCAATAACACGTTCTCAATGTTTCAATGAGTTTTCCTAATCGACGCACATAACGTGTGAGCCGGTAGGCGGTCGTAGAACAGAACGGAGCGAAAATCGACTTTCCAACTACTACTATTTTACTTGCTAATGTTCAGTTTAGATGCCATGCAAAAAAAGTTTCCATTGCTTATTTGCTCGCTCCGCTTGCTGTCGAACTATTTTATACACATGTGGTGATGATGCGTTCGTTTGCAACAGAGGGAAAGAGTAAGAGAGAGAGAGAGAGAGAGAGAGAGAGAGAGAGAGAGAGAGAGAGAAAGAAAATGAGAGATCGAGGGAAAGCAGAAAAGCCGGAAGACTGAAGAAACAGAGACAGAGAAAAATGAAAAGAATCAGTAGTTATTTGATAGTAGGAGATTTGGGAAAAATAGAAAGACAAGAAACACAAAAAAAAGAAGACATATTCCGGAAGGAGATGACGCAATCAAAATCCTAACAATTTCCCTTTCTCTCTTACTATTTCTTTCTCATTTATATGCACGCAAGCGTGTTATTCTAATCAAATTAAGAACTAAGCAAAAAAGAAAAAAAAGGACAGTAAAAAAAAAAAAATCTATCGTGCATGCGCATTGCATGTTTCTTAACAAAGATCGTTAAGGTAATATTAGATGATTGAAAACTATCTTGTAAACATAGAAGACTAATTCAAGGGAACAAAACAAAAACTAAGGTAGAACTTTCAAATCTTTGAAGTTTTCTTATCATGAGTTTCTTGTTTCAGAAGAAAGAAAAAAAGCAAAATATCTATTCACCTTTTACATAAATGTCTTACAACATCAGTTGATTTAAAACCATCTAGTGTATAAAGACGTTTAGCCAATCGACGTGCTGAAGGAAGATCAACCGATTTATTGACTGTTTCCGATGTAACTGGCACTATTAATATAATAAAGAATATACTTAACTATATCGAATTAAGAATAGAAAAACACTTATAAACTAACTCTATTATGTAAATAAAGTTCTTCTTATTTCTATATAAAAACAATAACAAAAAAAAAACCTAATTAAATCCTTACAATTAAGTTCAAATTCATCATCAATATCACGCAGTCTTGCATCAATAGCATCCTTTGTTTTTTGATCAAGTTCATATGATATTGGTGATTGTGTTGTCATTCTTGTTATTGATTGTTGCATTGTTGCTGTTGGTAGTAGTTGTACATTAATATCATTATTACCATTAATAATAGCAAGATTATCATAATCAGCATGATTTGATGATGATATTGGTAAATCAATTAATGATGATGATGATATAGTTAGTTCCTCGGATGATTTACGACCACATGAATCAAGACTATTTTCACATGAACGACTTCGTTCTGATTTATTATATTGAACATAACCATTTGTCATTGAATGACCGTTAGTTAATGGTATAAGGTTTTTTTTTTGTTGATAATATTCTGTATCAGATAGATTATCTTCTTCTGTTGTTTGTATTGATGATGTAAAAGATGAAGGAGAATTCCAAGATGGATTAACAAGACTAGACGACGTATAACCACCGTAGTCTAATCAATGAAATACAAAAAACAAAAAAAAACATTTTATTAATAATTTCATGTTAAATATGTTATTTAATAGTAAAATGATTGGCCTTAATATTGGTCAATTAGGAATAAACCATCTGAGACATTATATTAGATCAATATATAAAAGAAGTCAAACTGATTTATGTATGTTTATCTGAGAGAATGTTCTTGTCACACACAAAAAAAAACACTGACACATGAATCATTTTCTTCTAACCGTCAGTCCTTATTACAAACACAAGAAGATATTTGGAATGCAAACTAAATATTGTCGAGTGTCATAAGGAATAGATGTAAGCTAAAATCAATCTTACAATGACGTGCAATGCCATTTATTTGATGTCAATGACTGAAGAAAAAGAAAAACACATACATACAATAACGATAGAGAAAGCAAGTAAATAGATTTTCTTATATTTATCTAATATAGTAAAAGAAAAAAACTTTGCTAGAAAACTGATGAGTTAATCCGCATATACGACATTTATTCAACTACAACTACCTGCTATTGTCGTTAATAATATACCCGAAAAAAACAGCCAATACAAGACAATTAGGTTTTTTTTTCTCTCTCTCTCTCTCTTCTTGTTTCTATTATAATACAATTAACACATTTGTTTCACATCATTCACTCAACTGCTTTTAACTATGTCTATTTATTCGATTAGTTTATTTACCTTCTAATCGTTCTTCTTCTTGTTGACAACGTATCATCAGTACTCTGTTTTTTTGCACTGCTAAAACAATTATTCTTTTATTATTGACAAGTTACAGCTGTTCGTATTCACACGTAAAATTCAATGATCGAGAGAAAAAGAATATAAGATAGGTTAAAGATATTGTGTAATATCAATATTATATGTTTGTCGATATAAGAAGTGCCCGGAAAATAGACCTACTATCAGTTGCTTCTACTAGTAATAATAATACCTGACAAATAAACATATTCTCACATTCTTTCTCCATTTTTCTTATTCTTTCTTTCTCTCTTTCGCTGTCTAATTCCTCGAAACTTTTATCCAATTATATGGTGATGATGATCAACCCACGGACGTAAGAATCCACTAAGCACACAAGTATGCTTGTTACGGGTAAAGAAGAGAAAAAGGAATAAGAGAAAAAAAGGAAAATCGTTTATATTCTTGATGATCACATACACATAGAAAAACAAATAGAAGCATCGAAAGTGGATGTGAATGGTGAAATCGAACACTTTTTTTTGTAATTGAATGCTACCCGAACAGACCCATTTAAAAGAAAGCATAGGTATGTTTTATAATCTAGTTTTTCTATTGTGATAAAAATAGTAATAGTTGTGTAAGATTAAATAAATCAATTCACATACTATTTTATTCATTTACATGTAATAATTTTAAAAAAAACGACATCTCGACATTCCATTAAAACAAAAGAAGATACTTATTCGATTATTTATACAGACATAAATAACCAAACCATATATATATTTATATTAGTAAATCTAACTACCGACATGCACAGCATAACACTTACCTAAAGCAACTAAACAAAATTTACATAAAAAAAAAGAACAAAAATATTATTTGTTTAAAATTTGACAAAAAAAAGCAAATCTTTACCTGATTTTAATCGTATGCGAATTCGATTACCGGATAATTTTAAATTTTTTTCAACTACAATATCAATAAATAAAATTTCAAATAAAAAGAAATTAGTTAAATAAAACTTTACATTCAGCAACTGTTTGACCCGTAGTGCTTACACCGTTTAATTCCATAACAACATCACCGGGTATGACCTTTAATATTAAGAAAATTTATTTTATGAATGAAATTCTCTATTTAATTTTACCTTAGCAAGTGATCTCCAAATATGTGCAGGAAGGCGTGTATTGTGATTATTATATACAGATCGAACTGAAATAACTGAATGTTTTGAATTCGTTGAATTAATTTCATCATTATCATCCATCCATTGCATACCAAAACCATTATCTAACAATTCATGACGATATCTATTTCAAAAAAAGAAAAGAATTTTCTTCTTATTTTTAATTAAATTAAGATACAAAACAAAACACATACAAATCAACCACTTTAACAACTGGTGTTAATGCCATTTGATATATATCTAGAAAATCTAATAATCAAATTTCCGAAGAATGATAACGGTTTTTTTAAAAATTTTTGACAGTGATGAATGACTCATCAAACAATGCACTAGAAGAAGAAAAAGGAGAGAAGAAAAGAAAATAATATAACTGTTTCTCCTTCTTTTTCTATCCTTTTCTTTGTTTTGGTAATTCACCAATAGAATTATTGTCAAGTACTTGTAATGAATATCTATTTATGTCCCTTGTGAATTTATTCTAATATTTTAAATATTTTAAAGAAAGTCAAAATTTTTAACAAGTACATCTTATTCAATATATTTTGTATATGCGCGACATCTAATAATTCTTAATTAAACCAAGTCATATATTCACAGTTGTTGTCGAAAGAAAAGATAAAAAATGGAAATAAAATCGAAATATTTTCAATCAAATATGAAGACAATGGATGAATGTATTTTATCTTATTTAAATCAATTAGAACCTCCAATCGATATTGAATTACCAGGAAAAAATATTCAATGGTTATATCCTCTAAAAAATCCTGAAACATGTCGATGTGTGAAAGATTTCTATTCAAAATATTATTCAGATACAAATGAACGTATTCTAGTACTTGGTATTAATCCTGGTCGATTTGGTAGTGGTATTACAGGTATTTAAAAATTATTTTGTTTTGTAGAAAAAATATGAATTATCATTAAAGAATGTGCGTATAAGGAGGTCTTACCTATTGTAATTTACTCGATCAACTATGTAATCATTGAATCTGAGAACTTTATATTCTATCATTTGTCTCGAAGTAATTAAATATAAATATCTAGAATTACATATTCAATTATTTTGATAAATTAACTAAAATATTCGATAGTATTGATGGATGAAAATGACATTGTTATTTTTCAAGAACGCCGTCCGGTACAAAACGTTCATTTAAAAGATGAATGATTGCCTTCGTGATTTGAGAAAGTTATTTTTCGCATCATTTATAACTTTTAACACACATTATTTATGAGATTCTAATGGATCGACAAGTCCAGTGGGTGTTAATTCTTTTATTACTCTAGGTGTTCCATTAACTGATCCAATACGATTAAAAACAGTCTGTAATATTGATTCAAATTTTCCTTTAAAACCAGAATTATCATCACAATTTATCTATGATTATTTCTTTAATCAATATTCTATGAATGATTTTTATAAAAAATTTTTTATTGGTGCTGTTTGTCCACTTGGTCTTGAATGTAATGGACGAAATATGAATTATTATGATAATAAAACTTTTATGAATAATTTACTTGAATATTTTATACCAGATAATATTGAAAAACAAATTAATCTTGGTTGTTCAAAAAAAGTAGCCATATGTCTTGGTGAAGGAACCAATTATTCAATATTAAATAAATTAAATGAAAAATATCATTTTTTTGAAAAAATTCTCAAAGTTTCACATCCAAGATATATTATGCAATATAAACGACAATCAATTAATGATTATATACAACAATATATTGATGCATGTCAATTAGCAGAAAAAATTGTTTCAAAATAGAGAGACTATTCTTGTATTTTGTTTTTTATTAATTAACGAAGGAAAAAAAAATGAAGTAAAATTGATTAAATTTTTTGTTTTCTAATATAACAAGAGAAAAAGAAATCAAGTTCTTTTTTTAATGAGATATAAACACTACTATATAATTAGAGTTAAATACAAATTAATATTTAGGAAATTTTCGATGCAAAGATTTATTTTTCAATAAGTATTGAATATACTAACGAGGAAATAAAACTTTCTTCATTGATTATAGTAGACATTTGTGTTTATTCCGGTCTGTAATGATGAACATGAAAGAAGATGAACCACAGTAACTCTTAATCGATTTTCTCATTTCATTCTTTATGACATGATGATTGGCATATTTTCATCAAAACATTTCATATTGATAGTACGCAGCAATTCATAAATTGATAGAGATGTTATAGCAACCTTTTCATTTACAATATAAGTAATTCTATCGTATGTGACATTTGAATTCCATAGAGATTCTATTGACAACTAACTAAGATCAACTATCTATAATATGAAACTCGTAATGTATCAAATTCTCACATATTCTTTTTTAAGCAATTAATATAAAACATCTACATTACTTAATAAGAAGCAAGTTATTCATCCATATATAGATGGTGTTACAAGTACGAAAATTTATTGTATAACAAATGTAGACGTGGTTTATTATCTATATAGTTGATGAAGAACAATAAATTTAAGTATAGAAAATTTTTAAAGATGATTGATTGTGACGAAAACTGACGTTAGATTTGTTCGATGTTTCGTATAAATCGTTTCTATGCTGCTATATTTCAATTTATTCTCCTATCTTATCTATACTTTTTTCCCAAAAATTCGGAAAGTTTTCAAAAATTTGTCAATTCTGTTCCATACAATTTCTACTGATTAAGCAAAATCTATTCAAGAAGTAATTAAACTTTGAAGTATCATATGTATGACAATAGTTTTTTGCTCCAAATATGTACTTATTCGTGCTACTTTACTGGTATAATGAAACACTAGTAAAATAATTGAAAATATGAATCAGAGGTTCAACCAGGTCACGTTTTGGAGGCCTGGACGACCTGTCAATTTTTTCAAGCGAATAAAACAATGATGACAGGCTAGAAATCAGAGGTCCATAGAGAGCACTAGGGCTACTATCCTACCAGAGCCTGATCTGTTTGTCATAGGCACGAGCCACGATTTTCAGACCAGTGTAAGTGACAGGTCCAACCAAGCCGATAAGCCAACAACCTTCTTGGATCTGTGATTGACACTGATCTGAAAATCCTGGCTCGTGCCTTTGACAAGCAGATCAGGCCCGGGTAGGATAATAACCCTAGTGCTCTCTTTGAACCTCTGGTTTCTAGTCTGTCATCATTATTTTATTCACTTGAAAAAGTTGACAGGCTGTCCAGGCCTCCAAAACGTTGCTTGGTTGGACCTCTGATATGAATCCTATTTAAAATTACCAACATAAATTAATATTCCAAAATACTCCGTTAGTATTTTCAATTATATACTTGGCTGGTATAGACGTACGTGTATATAATAAAAAATAGTTAAATATTACACAGAGAAACTTTTCTATTAAAAATGTGCAATTCTTTTTATTTCAGTTCGAAAGCCGAACTATCATGGAAAAAATGTGAAGAAAGTATTGATAACTACTCTAATCACACAATTTCCTCATGTATTGTATGCCAGATCGTTGATCTCGACTGTAATATTCAAATTTGGAAAAGCTGTTTACCAACATATGAATATTTACTAATACAAATAAAATCTGAGAGCAATACAACATAACTAATGTAATGGTTAACAAATTGATGTCTTTTAATTTCGCTTTCTTTTGAAAACATTCATTATCAGAAGGCAACGGTGCGTTGTCTTTAGATATCATATATAACTATGAAATCGCAAAAAAAACCTTTGTGTATTTCCTTTGTTGTATTGAAGGCTGTGAACATTCTTTCACTTAATTTGTTGACGTATTCTTAAGAGCATTCTTATTTTTCTTTTTGACTGGCTGAGACTGCTCATTTCAATATGAACAATAAAGATCATTCTGTTTTACTGCCTATCAGTTGTATATTGCTATAGCTATCATTAGAGAAACAGTAAAAAGCATTTGAATTGAAGATTTCATCAACATCAGTATGCAAAAATTTCTATATTTTTGCAAAGAAAATCTTTGTTTTGAGAAAACTGAATCCTATATTTTCAAAAGGTCGTAATCGGACACCAGGCTAAAATAGAACATTGAATTTTAACACTTTTTACTACAAGCTTGTATAAACGTTAAGGATGTTTTTAACACATGCTCTTTATTTTAGAAATATAATATTATAGATCTTATTATTTATAATCCATAATGAAGATATGTATTTTGTTCTGGTTGTCGTACTTGTAAAATAGTTGGTGTTATAGGAAAATACCCAGGAATATGTAAATGTTGTTTTTTATTTTTATTTTGATCATTTTTTCTTTGTTGAAATTCTTCTATTGGATTTTTTTTCATATCACTATGAATACCAGCTAATTGTCTTGATTTAAGAGCAAATAAACTTTTAGCTAATTCATTATTATTTAAATTCATTCTATGAATAGCAGTTTTTAAATTCATTGCATAAATTATTCCACATATATTACTAATCATCTAAGATAGAATACTAAAATATTGAAATTTGTGCTTTTTTTTTAAGAAGAAAAATCACACATACAGCAATAAATATAATTGGTAGAAGAATAAAATTGAATGTTGAGAGTAGTTGATTGAAATGCTTTGAGGCAGGTTCAATACAAGATGACTTCAAAGAGAATGAAACATCAAAGTATTGATAAAAAAAGAACAAGATTATCACTCACGTTAATAAACGAGTTGTTTACTGTAGGTGTATGAACACATATTGTTTCATCTATAAGAATATGTTAAATTCATTTTGGAGAACATTTGTTTTTATTTTTATACCTGAAAAACAACACGATTCTGGTATCGACCAACCAGGATAAAGTGACGCGAATATTAGACTCTTTTGTGCTACTGTTAGACCAGTTTGTAGAACACCATCAACACAACAATGGTACTATACAACGAAGAATCTTAAAAATTTTTTATTAATCAGCAATAAAACTTTACTTTTCTATGCATTAATGTCCATGAATATGAAAGTGAATTAGTTGAAGTATCACTTTCAAAATTTTCTACATTTAATTCAAGTACAATTGAGAAATTTGGTTTCATCTATCGTAACAAAAAGAAACAAACACAAATAGACAATCATATCCAAGAGTTTAAACAATCAACTAACTCTATCACCCATAAACAAAACTATACACATAAGAATTACTGAACAAAATAATCCAAGTAAATTAAATATCAATGCCTATAAGAAATTTATATCAAAAATTAAAATTTCATTGTAGATATATTTACAATCATATTCACAATTGCTGAATGTCCAATTAAACTAGAAAAATAAGCAATGACAGCTATGATATATAAAACACCAACAGCAATTAAACCAAGAATTATCTTTAATTAAATAAATAAAACACATAAAACTCCTATAAAAAAATTTGAATAAAAACAAAAAAAAGATCAAAATACTTTAAAATATTGAAATTCATCTTCATAAATTCGACTATAAGCACGAATAAATGCAAGAACAGGATCTGTAACATCGCGGAATGTTGCCAAATAAATACTTAAGATTATAAGAGTAATACCAACTAACTATATCGTCAGTAAAAATAATAATAATAATGATTAATATAAATATAAGGAAAAATTAATTCATTACTTACGCACTAGTAGAAAAAACGTTGTACAAATAAAAGTCAATACTAAACACCATCGATTTGACATAAACTATAGAAAAATAATATGATTTTTCTTTTTTTTTTTGGAATAATAATAACGTCTTACTAATTGAGCATTCGATGAAAAAAGACGCTAAATTAAAAGAAATAGATTTATATGTATATTTTTCTTTCAATTATTTTACTTTTCCATTTGACCATGTACCATAAGTAAAAACATGTTGAAATTCTTGTTCATTTAATGTAGGTCTTTCTAGACTTTGTTGTTGATGATAAGAAAGAAGATTTTCAATTAAATCATTTTGTTTCATAGCAATTGTCTTTTGTGTTTGTGAAAATTCAGAAAATTCACGCACTGAATATACAAAATGTATTCAGTTAGAAGAAGAAAAAAAATACAGAAAACTTCGATTAGATAACATACTAAATGCAGCAAATGGTGCATAATTTGGTCCAAACATAGTTGATATACAATCGAGACAACCATGAGGATCAGTTGTAATATGATTACAATGTGAATGTACATTTGAAAATTGATTTTGAATTTGATTATTCTCAGTTGCTGTCATTTTTGACATAGACGAATGATGTTGTGGAAAATTCATGGTTAATGCTATGGCTTTTCCAGATTCTATGGGAAGAACATAACTATCATGATTCTCACCAGATATAGCTTTTGACATAGAATTCATTTCAGTCTGCATAGATGAACTATGTTTGATATAAAAGCGCGCTCATTTTTTATTTAGAAAAACATTTAACTAAATTTTATACATTTGATCTCCTCAAAATTTCTTTTTTTTTTAGATTATTCAGTAAGCATGTATAAACTACAGCTTCGAGCAAATACATGATAAACAACAAACAATTGGAGAAAGCAATGAAACGATTATTTACATAGCAAATATATGTCTCTTGTACGATTACAATACGAATATCTACCTGCTAAACTCGACATATTGGACTGATTCATAAGTATTATTTTCAAACAGTTCCAAAGAAAAAATACACAAAAGTTACTATAAAAAGTTTATTTGTAGTAGATACAGCTAGGAAGTAGTTGATAGAAAAATGATCACTTAAATAGATCGGCAGTGACATTTTACAATTTCGAGAGTTAGTAAATATTTATGTTGATTCTGTGAACTAACTTCTTTTTTCAATACGATGGTAAACACAATAAAAAGCTTTTCTCTGAAAGATACAGTTCAATGATGAAGTTAATCATTTGCATGCTGACATTGAAATATATGTTACTAGCGTCTAACTTATAAAAAAAGAACCCTATTTTAATTTAGAATTTCGAATACATTTTAGTCAGTTTCCTGAGAAATATCACGAATATTCACATAGAAGCTAGAATAGCAGAAGATTTTTATATAATCTTCAGAATGTCTATTTCAAATACATGAATGACTTTTAAAACAAATTTTTATTTATGAGCATTAGAATAACATGTAAATACCTACGTATGTAGCACAATATCACATTATGAGATTTAAAAAAAAACTAGCAATATCACATGGCAATTGCAATAAGAGCAGATCTTATTAGAACTATATTTTCATATAATGGAAAAGCACCAAAAATCGATAGCTACTCTTCAAAATTAGGTGAATAGCAATCTTATTATGAAACAAGTAATTCAGGACTTGAACTTAATATATTTGTTGTTGTTGTCTCACAAGTTGAATCAAGTGATTGTGTAGATTCCCATTGTTGTAAAGATTTTGATAATATTTTTGACTCTTGAAAATATGTATTTATTAAATCAGTTTCTTCAATTAATGGCGATTTATCTGTAGTTTTCGATAGTGTTTCAATTTGTTCAGTATTAGTTAATTCATCCCAATTACTATTGATTAAGTCTGACGTTGAACATTTGACTGTTAAGGTCGAATGTTTTATTGACATACTATTTGGACTTATTAATTTCTGTGTTAATAAACTTTGTTCTGGAGATGATTTCACAACTAGATTTGTCATAGTAGACGATGGTGATAAAAATCTTTGTGATCGTGATGTATTGATTAAATCAAAATTAAAACATGTTGGACGTGATAAACTATTAGTTCGAGGTTCAATGGAATTATTTGTATTACTAGAACCTTCCACTTGTATAAAACGACGACGATCATTTAAAGGTGTTTCAATTGCACAACATTTAACTATTGGACGAATGATATTTGATGTTGATTTTGATGTTAATGATTGATTATGTTCATATTCAGATAATTGACCTAAAAAATTAAAATTTGGTGATATTTGTGATCGACGTTGTTTTACATATTGATAAGCATTATCAGCAGATAAATGTAAATAACGCATGACATATGCAATTGCAAGAGCCGGTGAGCGACTAATACCAGCTAAACAATGAATAAAAATACGTCCATTATTAAGTCGAGCTTTTTCTATAATAGAAACAAAAAAGAAAGGCAAAAGAAAATTTATTTTTTAATCATATTTATATATTTACCAATAAATGTATAAGCTTTGTCAAAATAAGGTAGCAATTCTGCATTAAGACAATCATTAATTGGTATTCGTAAAAAATGTTCATCATCATTTTCATTAAGAAATGAAGCTCTATCTCCTGTTTTACTCACATTAATAACATGTGTTATATGATTATCCTAAGTATCAAAACTATACTAGTCTAGAATAAGATTGCAAATAAATGGAATTTACCTGCATTGTTTTTTCTGAAAGAGCATCTTCTTGACAACCTAGATAAAGAAATGGTAATATTTGTGATACTCCAATATTAGAATATGATGTTGTTGAAAGACATTGTTCATTTGATAGTCGTTGTGACATATTATTGTTATTGAGAAATGTGATTTGTAAATGAGTAAGCGCAAACTTCGATCGAATATATTTTATGATTCATTTTAGGTCGATGAAATCCTTCTTTTGACTGAATGAATGTGTTACTTTTTTTTTTTCGTAATCAATGAATCATCTATTGAAATGTTTTATGATGACTCATTAATCAAGATTATTTCTTTTCAGTTACCTTCTTCTTCTTTCTTTTTCTTTCGTTTTTTTTTCTGGAAGTCTTGGTTTTTTTCCCTCGTCTATCATAATTTATTTTTTCATAACCAATGAAAAATGATTTCGAATTGAAAGAAACAGCTGTAGTCTAAAATATTTCAGTGCTTGTTAGAATGATAAATAAAATAGATCGATTTGTCAATGAAATGTCATAACTATTGTTGAGCAGAGGTCAGAAGCAGTACGACATATTTCGAAAATCTGTCAAAATAATGACATTGTTTAACATAATGAGTAATTTCTTTGTATTTCAAAAGAGAATAAAATGACTTATTTATACTTGATTCAAAACATATTATTGCTTAGATTAGATATAGTTTTATTATTTTTCTTTAATTACATTTGTAATTCAACTAAAAAGTAGTACATTCTCTTTTTATTATAACAAATCTAACTTTTCAGTCATTGAAATAAGAATATACTATTTAATAAGGATTAATTAATTCTTTATTAGAACTTGATTATGTTCTTCATGTCGATTCCAAAAGTATTAGAATGAATTATCAAAATATTTTTGTTTTCTATTGTCTATTATTCTTTATCGAAACTCTTGTTCTTTTAGAAAGCCAACAATTTATGATTGAGATATATTAATAGTTTAACTACATCGAAACAATTTTACACGGTAGATTAACTATCTTTATGATAATTTATTTTTACGTCTCAATCTATAGTGTACCAGAAGCAAACTAATTTTAATATATGTGCATACGATTAATATTAGAAATTATCATACCTGATCGGATCAAATTACGAAAAAACAAGTGATTCATCATGGTTAATAGTGCTTATGTCTTGTTTGAGAATTTTTTTTTGTTAGATTAGGTTTTTATGATTCATAGACATACGCTAGTAGACAAAAGTCTCTGCTACTAGATCTCAAATATTATACATATTAGAGATTTAGAATTTTGGTTGTGAATGTCCATCTTCTTCTAACTCGCAGTCGGACTCACACCTATACTCATATTCTCTATGAGAAAAATGAAAGAAATAAATTATCTAATTTTTAATCGTTTTCATAAAATTAAATTGATTTCAAATACCATTAATACATCGATAAAGATGAATATACGTTTATATATTGAAGTATTGTTTTTGAAACGTTGAAAATCATTACTTCAACTGTTGAAAAACATCACGTCTCCAGCTGTAATTGCTACATGGAACGCATTGTAAAACACATTTAGTCTTGTTTTGTTTCTCTAGCGCGACTCTCATGAATAAAATACATGTGGCCAAATCATTTAATATAATAATAGAAATGTTTGATCACCTATCAAACTTTATGCTTAACTGATTTCGTGTAATTGCTTCTGAAATTATGGATCAACATTTATTATTATAATGTTATATGGTTCTCATCATATGAGTTTTGTATGAACCTGTGATTATGGATCCTCTAAACACCATTCTTATTGTATCGTACATTATTGTTAATTGATATAATTGAACTTATTTTTATTCTCTCTAGCGGTTCACTGAAGTACTAGTTCTCTGTCATTAATTGAAAAGAAGCCACTAGTTCAATTTATCCAAAGTGAAACGTTTAGAGTTATTCTAAATGTAAAAATCGTTTTTATGACACGTCACTGCTGTCATTAATTATAATACGTTATAGTACCTCGATGTTTTCCATAATCAAGCTTCACGAAAGTCATATAATAAAACGAATGCATAGAGAAGGTCTCTTCTACACAACTATAATCATTTTCGCCGCCATTCGAATATAAATATCGATAAAAACCATCGAATTCTTACTATCATCTTCTTCTTTCTCAACATTTGAAAGAATCCTAAAAACAGAATATACCTAGTTATAAAATTAAAAAGAAACATTCCTAGAGTCTTTTGATGTTATAAATTTGCATTAATGATAGGCGATCAGAAATAATCATTTTGTGATAAATTCATCGATCATAAACTTGTCGATGTGAGCTGTCGTTCTCTGTATCATCAATATTTTCTTTCTATTCTTCTTTTTCTCTCCCTCTCTCTTTCACATGCCCATATAAGTACTTATATTCGCATACTGTTCATCACCCATTCTTGGCTCGTTCTTCGTCTCCTCTCCACTCACCTTTCTGCTATGTTTCTTTTATGACTGTATGAAAGAATAACCTACTAACAACCGAAAACTATTATCAATATGTCTGTCTATGAATGCTTTTCTCTTACGACTTCGAACATATCCCGACATCTGTCCGTTCGCTTTTCCATTCATTGCTTCCGACAGTCACATCGCATTTATTGATTTCTTATTTTTTCACTGACTCATATTTGAGTAATAAGCATAATGTGTCATGTCGGAAGAAACATTTTCTCGTAGCGTTCTCAAAAAGTTATCGGCATGTAATAGTTGTAAGTTGACTAGTGGTCCGTTGTTTTTCTTGTTCATTGAAAAAAAAACGACTATTTTTATCGACTTCTTCGATCTACTTCATACTTTCATAGCATATCTTATGGCATAAGCATTTACTCATTTATACTTATGAAATTCGTACGTGTTAGTTTAGCTTTTCATGTGAAAAGAAACTTGCATTATAAATCGATATGATGAATTAGTACTCTTGTTGGCGACGATACTTCACGAATGTATCTGCCAATTTTTTTCTGCAAATATCATATAGAAATGGTCGTGAAAAGTAAAACTGAGTCAAACTTTTCCAAAGATCAAATTCATCTGTTCACTGTGATTATTGATACAATGATGCGAAAAAATCAAATATTTGTATGTGACTCAGCATCGTTTTCAGACAATCACACTTATTCTTATCTTGGCTGTTATGTAGGTAAACTAGGATGCAAGTACAATCAATAACGTATGAAAAAACCTTATCAAGAACATTTCTTAGACGTCTATAGTCAAATAAGTGAATTCTTAAACTAATTATTAATTAGAGAAAAAAGCGAAAATCGGCTGATAACTTTACAAATCTCAAGCACTCATTTTCAGATTCTTCTGACACTCATAGTTCGTTCTTTTTTGTATGGGAGTTGCATTTCCTTTTTAAGTATAAATAGCATATGCAGAGCAATGTTCCGTTGAACAATTTCCTAAAAACGTATAGGGAATCAGAACTTAACCAACAATGTCTTGAACGAGTACAATCACAATGATTGGATGAATCTGGCTTCTTCAAATGAATCCGAAACAAGTACTAAAAGTGGTTTTGAACTTAGTTTTACTAAATGATAAAGCTGATTTTTCTTTTAAGAACAGATATCTTTACTTCAACTCAAACAACTATCTAGTTGCATTCTGGGATTCTGGACACAGATTTATGACATTGTATAGCATGTTTTCTGAAAAATTTAGTTTTTAAAACATGAATTCGAGTATTCTCACGTGTATGTTACAATATGAAACCTAAATAAGTATTCATTTATTTTGAATCGATTAACAGAATGTTTCCATCTCTATCTTAAATACCTAGGTTTTACTTCGTGTCGAATCTTTACTTTTTCTCTGCTCGTATTTAGCTTTAGGAGATACTACAAAATAATGATGAAGAGGATAGTTTAGACGAGTAATACTATTGAGGAGTAGCATCCAATATAAAACGGACTATCTTAAGCATTTTAACAAAAAAGTATTTAAATGGTAAGCTGATTTATGCAGAGAATTTTCTGAGTGAGATTTAGAATTTCATCAAAACATATTTGTAAACATATTCGTCGAGATCTTTGCGTTAGGTTTACTCTGCATGAATCTGTTATTTCTACTCTCTAGATCATATGTTAAAACGGCTATTTGCCAAAAAAAAGAAGCAAGATGATCACAGCCTTGCTTGCTCATCCATGAGACGAATTGATCCACCTCATGTCACTTGGAAGCATTCATGGGCAGTCCATGAAATGCAGGATGCATTAGTTGCATCTCCATTTAATCGTATCCCTGGAGAAATACTCTTACGCATATTTCAATTACTTTCTGTTCCTGACCTATGCAATGTGTCACTAGTTTGCCGACTGTTCAAAGCATTAGCAGATCAGGATGACATTTGGAAATTAAAATGCAATAGTAAGAACTATTTTTTTTCATACGATTTTCATGATGATTCTTTGAAAATAAACAATAGCTTCAACGAAATTATACTCGAAATCATTCAAACATATTTATATGGATTGGATATATGACAAATATTTACGAAGTGAAGAACTAAAACGGAAGCTGGCAGAGTCAAGATTGTTCTACACAACAGGATGTGTCATACGTCCGTCTCCGCAATATCCAATTCGACCAATAATCGAAAATCTATTTGAATCTGTTGGTGGATTCAGTCGACATCCAAATTCATCGAAAGACATGTAAGATAGACTTTTTATACAATTGTGTGTTACATTCATCATTGTAGTTCCGATGAGGCTGGGACTGATATCAGACAAAATTATAACATCTAATAAGCGTAGAATGAAATCAATGAGACTTTTAGAATGCAACTAAGGTTTTGATGGAAAAGTTTTCAAAAAACCGAATTCTCATAATCTCTTCTTTTTATATCTAATGATCTGAAAAATGCCAGCACACTAAAGAAAGCTTTATCAGCGTAGAATATTGTTTGGCAACCATATTGTTCGTTCATTTCTGAGAAAAGCCAAACTGAATCCTTTCAACGATAGTAATCTCCATCTACAAGAGTACGGCACATTACTTTTTTGGAATTTTCAGGGTTAGGCATTTTTCTCTGTTTCCTTATTCTATCTAAAATTTTCAACGCATCAATTGTCCGATTTTTATACTTTCGATATAGTCTAAAGTG